ACTTGTGGCACCTTCTTGGAACAAGTGCAGCTTTAGAGAAGGTATTGAAAATCCCATGAACTAAGTTTTGAAGCAGTGGGAAAGACTTCTGTGTTCTCTGAGGCCGTATCAGCAGACATACAGTTGAAAGAATTTGCTAATAAAGTTACTGAGGGTGGTGCTTGTTTGTCATGAAAATATTGAAGAATTTGAAGAATTAATGAACGCATTGCAGTGTTCTTAACCTGATGGTAATGAAGGAGGCTGTGATGTGTCAGTACCCCTGGAGCTCAGGCAGGAACATACTGTAGGTAATGATTAAAGGAATAGTCAGTTGAGATAAATTCTTGATAGCTTTTGATAATAAGGTGCAATTGATACAGCATAAGCAGGGTAAGAAGACCCTTTGCTAACTGCAGCTGATAATCTGGAGGCAGGGAATGTTCTACTGAAATCCCAGGATGAAGTCAGGGAAGAGCTATTGTTTGTTGTTGGCAGCCAGTAAAGATATGAAACCTTACTCTACGTAATGCTGGTTTGTTTACCTCATTTTTAGACCTCACTTAAAGTGAAATATAGAAGTATCTGGTTGACTGCATGACTGTCTTCAGTCTCCTGTACTATCAGCTAAGAAATAAATGGTCAACTTCCTTCCTGACCCAAACACCTTTTTGTGAGTCCAGCTGTAACACTAGAATATGTGCTCTCTAACAAGGACTAGGTGATAAAAGCTGTCACCGTATTTCCCTGCTGAAGTTCAAAAACCAGAAAAAGAATGAAGAAAAGGGCTTTTCTTATTATTTCATTGTTCAAAGATACTTTAAACTTTTGCTTTTCTTTCTGATGATGTCCTGGAGGTTGTAAGATAAGATTGAGGTTTGAGAAATGAAATTTTTTAAAGTACAAAAATTAAATTATTCCTACTGATCTATAATCGGTATTTAGATTTATTAGACTGTGTACTAAAATTAGATTCTTACGAAAAACTGAATGAACAGTTCATGTGGAGATTTTTCTGGTTTTAGGAGGAGGTTAATATCTATCTTAATAAACTTACTGGATTTCTTCTAGTGCCTGTGCTGTTTCTAATTGCAGCTGTCTCAAGCCACCACTGATTTTGTGAGCGGGGTGCTGCCTTGAAAGAATGAAGGTAGATCTCCACCATGGCTAATCACTCCAGAAGTTCATGTACCTTCTGAGCACAAGTGGAGTTCTCAAGACATTATTGCTAGGTACTATTTTTATCAAGGTCCCACTTCATTATTTTATTGTAGTGTTTTGCTCTACTTAAATTAGAGCTTGAATCTTAAACACACAATTCTATGTTAGTCTGAGTAGTGCACAGATAGGAAAGGATATTTCAGGACTGAAACTTAATTATTCCTTGTTTATCCTGTGCAGCTACAGAATCTGAGGCTTATCTTTCCACTGTCCTCTGATTGCATTACTTGAATTCTTTTTTCCTACACTTTTGTCTTGTGTTCACCTGCCTAATTCAGATTTCTGAGTAAGATAAGGTTAATACAGTTTAATACTCACATCTTTGAATCTGTTCCATTCAGGAAAGCAAGGTTTTTTCCTTTTGGCTCCTAGTGAAGGTTTTATAAAGAAAGCATTCAGGGGAAATATAAATGTATTCTTGCTCATCCTAAAATTGGAGGTGATTCTAAAGTGTGTCTGAAGAGCAAAATAGTCTTTCTTTAAGTTTCATATGTGGATGTCACTTCATGTATTAATGCAATAACTTAAATAGTTTGGTTTAGGCCAAAAAGAAAAATGCTTTTAAATTCTGACTCATTTTGCAGAATCTTAACCTTGATAATCAATGTAGTAGTGACTTTCTTAAAGAGCAAGTCCTTTGGCAGTTTGCACGATAATTAGGTTGTCTGCCATTGAGTTATTCATCTTGTAAGGAATATCTCTTCTCATCTCTGTTGACAAATGTAACAAGCGAGGTTAAATGTAAGAAACCCTAAAGGTTAAATAGCAAGCACAATCTGGATAACCTTACTTAGTGCCGTTTTTTCCCTCTAAGGTTATTGGTTCAAGATTCTTTACTACTTACATTTTGTTTCAGGAAAATAGCTAGATTTTCCAGAGCAACTACTAACAGCCATTTTATCTGGCAATCCTAATCTCATTTATTGCCTCACACTACAAACTTTCTTGCTAATAGTAGTGAAAGGTACAGTATGGTGCAGGTATGCCATACGTAGCGAGAGATTTAGGAACATGAGCTAAGACTCTGTGTACTACAAGGGAATCTCTCATTGAGGTAGAAACTCTCAATGATGGATCTCTGAGTAAAGAACCAGGAGTAAGAGGAGAGGCCCGGCCACTGGCAGACTACAGATTTTATGGCCTTGACATGAAGGCTTGAATTTGCTTTCACAGTGGTTGCAGAAAGATTGTGGTGTACATCTGAGGTTTAGAGGAGGGCAAGAGAAGCTGGAACAAAACTGGCTTTTCCTCATTTGTTCAGCTACGAGATTCATTCTTCAGAGCAGTAGCAGGTTGGAGAGCCCTGAGTTGTGCAAGAGCATCAGAAAGCCATCTGACTGCCCATAGTTGGCAACTCTGTGAAGAGAACCTTGCTGGAAACTCCTGAGGAGTAGCAAGCATGCCACGCTAATGGCAGCTTCAAGTTGGTGACTGCTGGGAGCTACCTGCAACCAAGTACAGGACAGCTGTCCATGTGAGAATGTTCTTATGAGCCATCAGCCTGTTCACGTGCAGAACCTGCTGCCACTAGGGAAACTGCAGAAGTATTGTTTTTTTCTTGACCCTTCCAACAGCTAATTGGTCCAAAGTGCCCTGGATTGGGTAGATATTTGAATAAGAAATAGATGTGCTTCTTTGCAATTAGTGAAGGAGAAAGAATTTTTGAATGTTAGTGCCTAAATTTAACATTTTCTGTCTCCTGAGTACACTCAGCAATCAAATAATCAATGAATAGATTGGTTTCCTACTGTCAGGTCTGTGAAAAAGGAATGTCTGTTTTGACATTTCAGCTTGCAAAATTGGCCTTTGTTATTGCATGGTTGGCTGTCTTTCTGCACAAATACAGTGTGGCAAGCTCTGGTAGGATGAGCATTTAGCTCATTTGATACAGAATTTCTTATTCCTCTGTATTTAGTTCTTTGGTCTCAAAGTCAAGACTTCAATAATGTTCCCTCCAGTAATGGGTTGAAGTAGGCTTCAGATCCCATTAGTGTGAAGCCAGATCTCCCAAAACAAGTGTTCCTCTTCTGCATGTCATGATGCGTGTTTAGAAGTCTGGTATGGTCTATACTATTAAGACTTAGACTTTTCAACTTGCGATGTTGGGCAGAGTCACCAAGCTGTGGGTTAATTTTGTCCCATTTAGCTTTTACTCACTCTCAGTGGGAGGCTGTCACACCTCAAAAGTGTATCTCTTCAAACCATCAAGTGTTAATCGATTTACTCTTTACTACAGCAGTAGCTGTTTATAGCTGGTCTCACTTCTCATAGTGCTCTGTAACTTAAGCATTTAGAGTTGATGGAATGACACTGAAAAATTGCATGGAACTGTTGATATGCACAATGTGGAAAATGCTCCAGGTTTTGGCGCCAGAACTGTTGTTTTGTTATTTGATCCCCAGTAAGCAGCACAGCCAATTCTAGCTAAGTTTGGTCGTAAATATCCTGCTCCAATCTAATCCATGCTCAGCATGTTGGAAGAGATCTACACGTTCTTCAGGATCCCTTTCCAGCACGGTTAGTCAGGGCTGGTGCCAGCCCTTCCCCAGTGCTGGCCACCTCCTCACTGGTTGTGGTCTAAATTCCTTTTCAGTTCATAAAGTGTGGACCTGAGATGATTTTCTGAAACAACCAAATAATTATGACTAATTTTTATCTAATGTTTTTAACTAATGCTTTGTTGACACACTAGACCAGAATATTCTGACATGTTTTCCAAACCTTGTTACTTAAAAATCAGACAAATTCTCCTCCAACTAAAAGATTTTCCAGAAACACAATTCTAGAATAGCAGCAAGAGAGGCTTAACAAATCATCAAACGCATGAGCAGTTTTACCTGTCTAAGTCTCAATAGAGGTTTGAGTAATCTCCAGCAATGGAGGCCCCACAGCCCTCCCATGCAATCGGTTCTACTACTTCACCATTCTCATCATTAGAAAGTAATTTCCAGTATCAGGAAGTATAGGCAGCTATAAAGTAGGAAGTTGATATAGGTAGCAAATTCATGTGGTTTGTTTATTTTTTTTAATCAGGTCCCTGTATCTGGTATTTAGATTTAGATGTCGTATTCTTGTTTTCCTTTTGAAGGAAGGGAAAAATTCATGGTGATCAAAATGAGTCATGAACATAGAAAACAGAGCATTCAGTGGTTTAAATTCTGCTGTATCCCTAGTAAAATGTCATAGGAGTTGCTGAATTGAAAAGTGTAAAAAATAGGAGATTCTGTATTCTTTTAATAAAATGGATTAACAAAAAGGATTTCCCTTTACACAATGCATTCCAGGCTGTGATAATATACATTTATAGTATCTGAATGAGAAACAAAATAATTTTGTCTTTATCATAACTACTAAGATTTTTATATAAACTAACATCCCGTTGTAAATTCATATTTTCCTGGAAAAAACAGTTTGAAAACACAGATTTAATCCAATAAATGATGCAGCAGTTAACTGCTTTCATTAATTGCAAGTCCAAATTAATAGCTGGATTCAATGTTAATGACTCTTTTCATTTGAAAGAGATTATTTTCCTCTCTCTTGATTTTTGGTGCTGGGTTTTTCTGTCACATGAAACAGCCTCCAAACAAAGGACAACCATGATTTTTCATGCATGATAGTGTATCGAGTGTAAAAATTAAATGGTGCAGACAATGAAAGAAACTGATCTCTGTGATAACATAATCTTAAAATAAGAACAAAAGGCTGTTATTTTGCTCTGAGGTCTATTTCAGCTGTCAGCTGAGAAATGGCAATCCATCCTTTGCCACAGGTTTAACCAGAAGTGTTGATGCAGAAGAATGAGCTTCTTTAGGCAAGTCAGACTTCTTCTCTGGAAGAACTGGATCCTTCGGAAAAGACAAAAGGTAAAGTATTAGTCTTTGGATTTCAGTTCTGGACAATACTCTCCTTGATGAAGTGACCGGTACATTTATCAGCATGTGAAAATCACAATTTTCTCAAAGAATAAAATGCTGCTGTCTGGGACCTTGTCTGGTGCTGTTTGCAAAGCTGCTCTTTACAGGCTGAACATAGAATACTTGTATTGAGAATAGGATTGCGTCCCAGGAGAAGAGTTGTGGGTAGTAATATTTTGGTATTTTCACATAAAGAGATCTGCTGTTAGAAAACATTGTGGGCACTCAAGAAGGTTTGATTCATAATTTTAAATTTGCCCCTCACACCCAGCTACTCTTAAATGTGAATCCAGTTAGGGCCCTAAAGTTCACACAGATTTTATTTTTTAATACAGCTGAATTACATAAGTAATGTCAAAATCAGAGGAGTATTTAAAATCCTTTCAGGTCCTCTTAGATCTTATGCTACTTTCTTAGAGCAAATTTGTCTATTACTTTCCACTTTTTTTTTTTCCCCTTTAAGCCAGATTTTCTTAGACTCAAACCCTTAGTTTCAAACTAAAAGTAATTAAAAGGTACATCGGGGCATCTGTGAGGCTGTAACAGCCATGCAAACAATTTTGCCATAATACCAAAGATCAATAGGGTCAAACTGAGCCATGGGATGACTTGAAACGCTTACCTATGCTGACCTGATTTTAGTCATTAGGAATGACTCATATGCTGTGCTTTCCAGGATCAAAGGATTATCTGGTTTTCTTCAGAGACAAATTGAATGTCCTTTCTTTCATAGCTTCCCAGCAGACTTTCTCCCACAGTCTATATTGCCATCAAGAGCTCATGCATACAACATTGCCAGCTTATGATTTAATACACTATGAAAGTGACCAGTCCTATGTAAATTATATCCAATATGAGGACATCTATTTGAAGCTGGACTTCAGTTACTGATTGTTGAGGAGCTGTGTAGCTTGTTTCTCAAGTTCACCAAAAAATCCAACCCAAGAACAAAACCAAACTGAAAATCCACGTCTTTGTGATCTTCAAATGTGTCTACTGAGAGAATTGAAAGCCACTGGTTTTTAATTTTTAGCAAATGTATCTTTATGTAATTCTTCGGTATTTTCAGTGTGTGAAATGCTTTTTTATTCTGGCAAATCTGCTCAGATATGTGACCCAAAGTGCCTGCTTGGGCTTCAGGAATTGTCTTTCTTGTTGTTTATTTTTTCCTATAGAATTTTCAAAAAAGCTAGCTTGGTGTTTTCTGGTGTTGCCAGAGATCCCTTTCTATGATGATCATTCCTAACTTGTGGATTAAATCACTGTGCTTACAACAGGAGAATATTTTCTCCACTCTGAAGAGTAGAACATTTTACAACAGAGTCAGTAAAAATAATTTCCTTTTCCAAGTATATACACCTATGTGCTTATTTGTCCGCACAGAGAAACAAGGTAGCCTAAACAAAAACCCATAATGTCAAAAGTAGCTATAAAATGTGTTTTGGAAATGTGTTTTGGAAAAATCAGCCTGTTTTCTGCTATCAGTTGTGTAGTACCATAAATGGAGGTATATCTGGTTTTCTACTCAAGTTCATCATTTAGTCTAATCTAAATCACAAGAGGAGAGGCTTTATTACAGAGTTAACAGTTGACCCACAGCCAGTTTAAGGTTGTCAGACTTACATGTTTGTGTCATTGTGCTTGGTCCATTACAGCTCTGTCTGGATATTACATTTCTCTGCATGTTGCTGGGATTTCTGGCTGTTTATCTTGCAGTCTTGCAGACTTATGGGCTACTCTCTGATCCTTCTACTAAGTTCTGAGGCACCTGTGTGTCCTTGGGAAAAGGACCACAGCCAAGAATCAGGGGGCTAACTGCATTTGATCTGTCCTTATTGCACAACACATTGTGTACCAACTTGAAAGCAAGCTTCCTTTGTGCTTTAGCCTTCATTCCCTTCCAAACTAGTTAGCTCAGACAGAAAGGAATTACTGAATTCAAGACTGAGGATTTTGTATTTCCTGTGAATGACATAAGAATCGACATCTGAGCAATAACCCAGATTAACTCTGCAGCGAAGATGACAACCAAGGAGTCTCCCCAGCTTGTACACCTCTGAGTTTGAGCGTGTAGTGAGTGCTTGTCCCAAACATCTCATCAAATGGATGGCAATGGGTGTTAATCAGACCTTGTGGACTCCTGCTGAGAAACGTTTGTAATACCATGTTCCGAGCTGTGCACTACAGCTGTCAAAGAAAGAGCTCTACAATGGCAGGTTTCCTTTTCTAATTGTCACCTGCCCTTTGCTTCTGGTAAAATTTTCTCTGGCTTTAAAATATCAAGCATGCATAACTTCCGAGGTAGTGATGGGTTGGGTTTTTTGTTGTTGTTCTATTTTTAGAAAGAAAGCTGTCAGAGAAAAAGTGTGCAATAGGAAATGGTTGCCTGGTGAAAAGCTTTCTACCCCTTTGCTGTAAGCAAAAGCTCTGCTTAACTAAAGCTGCCAGACAAAGTTACAGAGAAAAAAATTATGCTGTGGAGTATCTTTTGCCTTGCAGTTTGAAAAAACACATTTGCGTGTGACCCATCTTGTCTCTGGCTCTGCTACTGTACGCATTATTGTTAGATGTTTGGTGCCTGGTTGGGGAGGCAGGAGCAAAGGAAAGGAGGCAGGAAGGGCTTTCCTGTGCATGTGCTACAACCCCAGTTCTGGAGAGAGTTTGTCCTGGCTCTTGTGCAAAGGAGAAAAAAAGCACCGTGTAGCTGGAAACAAAAATCCTATAGCTGGTCCTCAGAGCCCAAAGTCTGTGTCATGGGATCAAAGGGCTGCAGTTTGAAACCTCTGCCAAAACACACAGAGGCATTAAAACAGCCTGAAACACAGGAGTGGAGGAAACAGACTGAAAATCGGGCAGGATCTTGCTCTGTGGTAAAGCAGTGCCCTTGATTTTCTGTCATGGCTGGGAGCTGGTAACTGTTCTAAGTGTATTGAAAGATCTGGGCAATAAAGTGGCCTTTGATAGGATCATCTATGTTATTGAATGAGATGTTTTAGCTTAATGTATACATTTCTACCTGTACTAGAAAATTAATAATGTTGAAATTAATAATGATAAAAAGAAGCAAAAATGAAGATCAAAGAATGTAAGCTTATGCTAAAGTCTTTTACCTTGGGTAAACACAGTGCACTGGCAGCCTACTAATGAGCCCAACATTGTGAAGGTGTGGATAAAAAAAAACCTCAAAACAAAATGCACACTTTTTTCTCTTGCATCTAATGCTTTTTTCCTGTATTGTTAGAGGCATCAACTTTGTACAAAAACTATTTAGACTTATACCTGGTCTATCCGGCAGTTTAATACTACCTGCTGCCTCTTTTTACGTCAGGCAGGATGCTTAAATGTTTCTTTAGAAGAGATGGAGAAGCTACTGAGTTAATGGTGATGCTTCATGGGGCTCTGATGAAGTCCTTGCTGTTTCTGAGTGTCCTTTCCAAATGGTGAAACAGGGGTAACCATGGGCACATGGTGCACTGGGCATTGCTGCTGTGAGGAGGCACCTCAGCCCTGTTGTCACTTAGTGACTCTATACATGGTTCATCTGTAAAATTTATTTTGAATGGGTTTTTTTTCCTTTTTTTCCAGCTTCGTTTTCTGGTGGAGCTTCTATGGCCTCTGTCATTATTTCTTGCCCTTGTCTGGCTGAGGAAAGCTAATCCACTGTATCGCCAGCATGAATGTAAGAACGTTTAAGAAGTTTTAATGCTCTGATTTGTGCTAGATAATGGCTAGAAGTTCTCAGACAGAGGTACTGTTTGCTGGGTATTATTCTCCAGTGGCAAAAGAACAGACTTTGCTTCAAGTAGTTTAGATAATTATAGCTACATATTGTAAGAATTACCAGAGGGGAGAAAAAAAAAAGCTGTAGTTTTCCTGTGAGATACTTTGTAGTTGGACTTACATGAGGTGTCCAGATTCTATCAAGTTGTAGATTTCTGTAATTCTGTTACTGAGAAGGCACTGTAGTGAACCAATCCATCACGCTACTTAGATTCACAGAGGCTGCATTGGAGAGGATACCTAACCATTTGTATTTTGTGTTTCCATACTCTAGGTCACTTCCCAAACAAGGCAATGCCATCTGCAGGAACACTGCCATGGTTACACGGCATCTTCTGTAACCTGAACAACCCCTGTTTTCGTAGCCCAACCCATGGAGAGGGTCCAGGTGTTGTGTCCAACTACAACAATTCCATGTAAGCAGATCTGTATGTGTGACATTGAGCTGCAGTAATGCAGATCTGCCAGGCCACTGCTGATAGCCTGCTCTTGGCACCTCTTGAGCATTCATGGACACGAATGATGCAGGGAGAAAGGATGGAGTATCCTCAGCCTCTTTAGGAAGGTCCCTCAATGCACTGAGGGTTATTCTAAAGAATTGTTCTGTGGTATGAATGAAAAGTGAAAGATGGGCATTTAAGAAGACACCAGAGTGCAAATACTGGAAGATAAACATTTTCAGTTCTAGCACATCAGTTTCATTCCAGCAGTGACCTACAAAGTTGAAACAGAGCTTGTGATGATAGATTTGGGCCTTTCTTGAATAAGTTCTGTTGTGCTAGTCTCTAGGTAACGTGTTGACTTAATAAAATCCATCCTTTTCATTGCCCTGCTGTTTAGTGAATGTCTTGGGACAAATCTTTTTGATACAAGAGTGTGAAACCCCTAAGCTTTCTTTTCACATCACTTGAGTTGTCCCCTCTGAATGAGAGCCCTGATGAAGTAGCAGCAAAGGAAAATCTGCACTTCTTCTTCAGTAGCAGTTGTTTAGCCTGTATACTTGTGAGACTTGAATCAGCGTAGTAACCTTCAGATACTAAACTTCTTAACAGAATGGGAGATTTCTGGACTGTTAATGAAAGAGAACTCTGTGACTGCTTCATTGCATTGTTTGTTACAGCTGAGTCATGAAAAACAGCATAATGGACAAAGACCCTTAGAGTGAAAACCTGTTAGAATAGGTATAAAAAATGCTCTAAATCTGCTTTTTTAAATAGTATCCTTTGGAGCATCCAATGATTAGAATTCATGAGCCAACAATGTCAAGGCCATTAAAGCCCCAGCTGCGTGAAAGTCCATTCCTTGGAGTTAACTTAGCATTTGACCTTTTGTTCCTATTTAAAATAGCTGAGCTTTTTTTTTTTTTGTGAAGTATAGCCAGTCCCACAGTGAAGCTAGAGCATTATGTTTTCTGTACATTCTGGCTTTTCTAGGTAACTTATTACAGAGCAAACTGTCCCTTTGAGTCAGAGTAAATTCAGTGCATTACAGAGGAAGCAAATACATTGTGTTTTCTGAAAGAATTTAGTCTTTCCTGTTTGCTGTTTCCTGTAAGCTAAAATAAGACACGAGGACTGAGATATACCATTCCATGTATGGAAAAACATATCACTGTTAAAGAAATGTAATGGCCTCCCCTGCTGCTAATAATTTTTTCATACTTGTTTATAAACACAGGACCTGATTGCATCTTAGCTCGAACTGTGTGTTCTAACCCAGAACCAGTAGGTGAAGAGCTGCCTGTGACAGTTTGTCACTCCTGTTTTCCTGCATCTCCTAGAAGTAATGTTTTGAAGGGACTTAAAAGCTGTCCTTACACTGGAGAGGACTGAGCTGGGAGAGGGAAGAGGATTCTTAGTCTGGGTGATTCCATGTGACTTACCTGGCTGAGCAGGGCTGCATGTGCCCAGAGTGCCCTGTCCAACTGCTGGAGCTGAGCCTGGGCCAGAACCAGAGCAGATTTGCACCATAGCTGTGAGGTGAATGTTGTCTAGGGAAGGTTCTGTCTCCCCCAGCAAGATCAGCATGGCTAGCAAAGTGTACGACAGACCAACCTTCTATAACACTGGTAGCCCTCTTAAACCTTCCGTGGACTTCAAAATCTAACTGAATCCCACACCACCTGAAGCTACAGTGTTGTCACCACAAAACTAAGATTTGAGTTTCAAGACTGAGGACAAAATATGTTATTTCCTCATTCCTAACATAGAGAAAGTCAATTTCCCCTTTTTTTGCGTGTGTGAAATTTTCTTAAGAATCATCAGTCTTAAATTATTGTTGGTTCACTGTTTCTTCTTTTAGACTTGCAAGGGTATATAAAGATGCTCAGGAGCTCTTACTGGAAGCCCCGGAATTTCGTGACCTCGGCAGAATCTGGGAAGAACTGGTCATTATGACTCAGTTTATGGAAACAATGAGAACTAATCCTGAAAGAATTGCAGGTAATTGTTTTGTCTGTATCCTTTAGACTATTGAATTTATCATTTGGAGAGCTGACTTGTGGTTACTCTGCAGACTGACAACATTTTAATGTATTTCACATGTGGCTCTTACTCTGCTTACTGTTAAAGAGGGTAAGTTAAAACTTGCCCAGTGTTGTAACAAACACCCTTCATTTGAGCGAGAGGGGCATTCAGCTCCATCTTCCTTAAGTAACAGTAGACAAAACTCAAAACACAAAAACATGGATATGTCATCACCCAAAGTAAAACATGTGGTGGAACATATTTCATTAATTATTATTACAGTAGAGGCAGAAGCAGTAAGAAGGTGTCACTGGAAGATGCAGAGGGAATGGAAAGCTAGGAATAAGCCTGAATATATACTAGGAGCATAACCCAGAGAAGAGCTTAGAGAGACGTTGTTTCATGTTAGCTGAAATAGGTTTGCAACAATGAAGAAAGAAACACTTTCTGCTGTCTTGATGATGTGTTTAGAGAGAAGGCATTGCACACTTCTTATAAACAGAATTGCAAATTATATGAATCCATTAATTTTTACTTAAAACAACTTGCCAAATTCAAAACACAATCCTAGGGAATAATAGGAAATAGACTAATAATATTTTTTAAGGTAATATTTGGCTTTAAGTACAGAATTTGAAAAGATACTCCTGAAACTAATGGCACAAAAATGGCCTGGCTCTGAATTCTCACGTCTTTTGCCACAGGAATAATATTCTTATTTAAATCAAATAGTCACTGTCCATGTATTTGTAATAGGATGTGTATAAACCATCCGATACATGTTCTCCATTATCTCGTCAGAGGTTTCTAACTAGAAATAAAGAAGGGTCTATCTCATTTTAAATAACAATCGATCAAAATGGCCCAGAATGCAAACAAGAACTTGAGAATAATCTGAGCTGTGGTTTGTACACAGCTGGAGAAACCAAACCTGCCTATTTAGAGGTGAGGAAAAGCATGACATGCCATGGGTTTGCAACATATTACTGTGGGACCACACCTCATGGTTTGGGAATTTGCCTTTGCATCCCGTTTCAACTTTACTCAGCAGTTAGAAAATAGAGAACGTTCCTCCCAACTTCTGTGAAATATAATGTTAATGCTCTTTTAGAATGTGTGAGTTTTGAATGTGTTTTACCTTAAAAAAAAGGTAAAAAATAAAAATAAAAAAAAAGGAATCTCCTGTTTGTGTGAATTGCCACCTTTTTCCATACAGAAGAAGGTACTCCAGAATTTATTATTTAAGTTCTCTGTGTGTGTAGCTTACTGCTATTGCCTATAAGTAACAGTCTTAACAGAATATTTATAGCTGCAAAGTTGAGCAATGAGAAAAATAACAAATGTCAGAATTAAGATTGCTCCTTCTCCTAATTCCTTAAACTGGATCCACCTTCAGTCCTCCTTTCTTGTCCCATTCCCCCCTTGCACTGACACATTTGATGAGATGTGTTCCTGTAGCGTGCTTTTTCCTCCACAGTACCTGAGTGCCAGGAAGGGCATCAGTGAGAACATGGGGGACAGGCCCCCACTATTGTTTTTATGTTTGAGTAAATACATGGAGGAGCAATTGAAGTTCTGCTCAGCCCCTGCAGCCCTAGGACAGAATATGCTTATTGCAGATGGAATTGGGGCAGTTAGATGTCAAAATCTGATAAGACTCTACTTAGCTCACAAAATGGAGAGTCTCAGCGGCAAATTCGTGCATGTTTATGTGGGTATGTCTAAAGCCATATTACCTGTGTCAGTATAGTACTTCCTGCTCCTATCAGTTTCAATTGTCTGTTCTAAAGACTGGAGGAATGGGGACTTTTCAAGCATTCTTTACCTAAGTCTGTTGATGGTCTGCGAACTACCTTTAATAAAGGCTGTAGTAGTCAATGGACATGAGCAGCATTCACTTTCCAAGCTTTCATGGACCATACTGAGGCAGAATTCATCTTAGTCTCTAACATCTCTGAGATCAGACATGCAGAGTCAGAATACTCAGCATTTTCTGATGATCATTCCCCAACAAAGGATTAAAATTATTTTGAATTTCAATAATAGTTTTGGACCCCATTAGTCACTACTAAGTATATGAGCCAAAGCACGTACTTTTTGCAGGTTTAAGCCGTGGTATGTGTTGTTCTTTACCTTCCTTTGTTTGGTATCTCACTGATATCTGCACTCCTTTCTTCATCCAGGAAGAGGAATACGAATTCTAGACATCTTGAAAGATGGGGAGACTCTCACTTCCTTTTTGCTGGACAATGCTGGCCTCCCAGATATTGTTGTTTTCCAGCTTATTAATGCTCAAGTGCGTCCTGAACAGGTGGGTAAAGTATAAAAGCTACCAAGCTGTTATCTGTGTGGAATGCACTCTCTTGAGTCATATACACAAAGTAGCCTCCGTGAGAGCCTTGTACCCAGAATATCTACTGTCTTATATAGGCTGTAAATACAACTTCTCCCTTTGCTTTTTGTGAATGTAGAGGAATAAGTGCTTGATTTGTCTTTTTAAAACACTTTGAATATGCATTAAATAAAAATATACTTGGTTCAGTGCTGCTGTTGCTCCCAAGTAACAAGCAGCAAAAAATTATATTGCCAAGCAATGCATCCATCCCCGTGATTAAAGACTTGGTGCAAAAGTATAAGGCAGCTGTGCATCCTTTTGAGACAGCAGTCCTGATGAATAGCAGCAGAGAACTATTTGAGGTTCTGAATTTAACATTTAAATTCTCTGCCCCAATGTCAGCAGAGTAATATGGTGGCTTTATGGCATTGTCTCACATGAATAGGTGGGAGTGGGGAAGCAGACCCACTTTCTTAGATTCTGATTGAATGCTAGATCAACTCAGAAAATTCGTAGAGAAAACTGCAGGTCAAAACTGAAGCAGCTAAGCAGGAAACTGTGTCTGATCAAGTCCAGGCTGTCTCTGCCTCTGCGTATACTGGTGGCTGGGATCTCTGTGAGGAATGCTGTGTTAATGAATGGATGTTGCTGAATCAGAACTCTGGAACAATTTCTGCATTGCGTTAGTGTGTGGGTGGAAGCAAGTGAATAACTGAGGTGAAAGACACAATTCTTCTTTTTTCACTGCCACATAAAACACAAATGCTGGAGCTGTGTGTGGCCAGAATGAGGGAGGGCATTAATGAACTTGCAAGCAGTTCCTTTTTTCCATCACAGCTAAGTGTGACTAGTAGCCAGATTACTTATCTGCTGTGCTCTTGATTAGCACCAGGGCAAGACCCCTCTCCTTGCTTCGTCATGAAGCAGTACCAGAAGACCATATCAAAGCCAGTGTCAATTGATACAGCCTACTTATTTTCACACCTCTGTATCAGCTGAGATGGTGAAAATTTGTTTCCTTGCTGCTCATGACAAGAATATATACAGATATCCCGCTGGGCTTCTCGTTCCCTTTTTGTCCCTAACCTCTTCTTTGTCAGAGATCTGCTGTGCCAGGAGATCTGTGTGCTGTTGTGTTTGTCTCTATTGCCAATGGCATTCATTCATCTACAAATCTCTGATTGCCACTGTATGCAGGACTGAAGTTTTCAATACCAGCACCAAAAGTATGATTGAGAGCTTCTGGAACATGGTGTCTTTCTGCTGTATTTTCTGTGCCGATGTAGAAAGAGATGTAATTCTCTTTATGCAGGAAATAAAAGAAATCTGAGCATCAGTAAGAGAGAAAGCTGGTGGAGACCTGGTGTTAAATACTACCTTTACTGTCCTCTGTAAAGTTTTCTTGTTAGCAGTAATCCCAGGGATATAACGTTATCAGTATCAATGTAGGCTGTGGGATGATGTGATGGAGAGCAGCTCTGCAGAGGAGCACTTGGGAGTACTGGTGGACGAAAAGCTGGACATGAGCCACCAGTGTGCATCTGCAGCCCAGAAGGCCAATCGCATCCTGGGCTGCATTAAATGAAGTGTAGCCAGCAGGTCAAGGGAGGTGATTGTGCCCCTCTACTCTGCTATGGTGAGACCTCACCTGACGTACTGCGTCCAGCTCTGGAACCCTCAGTACGAGAAGGACATGGAACTGCTGGAGCAGGTCCAGAGGAGGGCCACAAAAATGCTCTGAGGGCTGAAATACCTCTGCTATGAGGACAGGCTGAGGGAGCTGAGGTTGTTCAGCCTGGAGAAGAGAAGGCTGTGGGGAAACCCTATTGCAGCCTTTCAGTACTTAAAGGGGGCCTATAAGAAAGATGGGGTCAATCTTTTTAGCAAGTCCTGTTGTGACAGAACAAGAAGTAATAGTTTTAAATTAAGGGAAAGTAGATTTAAACTGGATATAAGAAAGAAATAAGGTGGTGAAACACTGGAACAAGTTGCCCAGAGAGGTTGTAGAGGCCCCATGTGTGGAAACATTCAAGGTCAGGTTGGACGGGGCTCTGAGCAACCTGATCTAGTTGAGGATATCCCTGTTCACTGCAGGAGGGTTGGACTAGATGACTTCCAAAGGTCTCTTCCAGCACAATGTATTCTGTGATTCTGTGATCATCTCAGAAGACCTGATTTATGGCTAGGAGGAAAGAAAGTGGTGTGATACTTCCTCCAGGAGCAACTGGTGCAGAAAAGCTACTCTCATAATTTTCTAAAGACCGCAAAATAATTATTTTTCAGTAGGAAGTGGACACTCAAAGATACCTGGGTGGTCTCATATGGGAGATAAATCATTTAATTCCTATAGACCTTCTTGATAAGAAACTTACTCAGGCTAGACTTATGGTTGGTTGAGGTAGAAGTTGCAGAGCCATGACAAGACCTAGATCTGTGGTTGTCACAGAATCACAGAATCGCTCGGTTGGAAAAGCCCTCTGAGATCATCACGTCCAACCATTCCTATCTACCCCCTAAACCATATCCTTAAGTACCTCGTCTACCCGCTCTTTGAATACATCCAGGGATGGTGACTCCACCACCTCCCTGGGCAGCCTGTTCCTGTCTTAAACCTCAACCATGATAGTTTGTCTCTAGTTCTTCATGCTGCTCTGTTTGCTTGCACATCTCTGTACACCCTTTCCCCTGGCTCTGGTGGCACAGAGCTGATCAAGCTGGAAGCAAGTTGTTTACAAGAGCCTGACTTGTTGCCAACAGCTGGCTACAGATCTAGGTCTGAGCTGCCTGGGAGTGCAGGAAATGACACACAGAGCTGAAAGCTAAACGTGATCAAACAGCCAGCGAGCTGAAAAAATAATTTGGACTTCATCTTGCTAGCTTTGGCCGAACAGTGACACATTGATTGAAAAAAAAAAAAAGAGGTATTGAAGTTTTCCTCTGAGGGCTTGCTTTTTTGAGTCATTCTAAGATAAGGGTAAGAGACTGATGTTAAAACACAATAAGAAGTTCAGGAAAGATTGGCAGCAGCCCACTCTACCGGAAAAATTGGAAGGGCGGAGGTTTGATGTTTTTCTAATCCCATCTGTTCATGAACATTCTTGAAATGCAGTTACAGTTTGTAAATAACCTCTTTTTTGTGTGTGTGTTTAATCCTTCTCAGTGATGTTAATGTCACAGTTTCCTCATTTCACAAGTCAAAACAAGGTTCCCAGGCTGCCTCCCTGTGCAGCTCAGGTTCATTGCAGATCGCACTGGATGAGGAGGACCATGCCAGATCAAGCATATATGGTTAAAAAATGCTGCTCTTTTCACACAAATCCTCAGGACAGAAGTGACTGAGCAAATAAGCAAATTCTTTCACTGACATCAAGTCAGTTAAATCCAATTCAGATGTTCCAGTTTGAGGGAGGGTGGGGGTGTTTGGTTTTGGAGGTTTTCTGCAAGCCAGACTGTATCTTTCACTTGCATTTTCTCTTTTGCATTCTGCCTCTTCACACTGTCCAGCTTATGGTAACAGTGCGTTTGTGCGGGTACAGCTGTAGTGATGACAGTGACAGTACCTTTCAGATACTTTTACTAGAAATTCACATCCCTTTTTTGTATCGTTATTCCAATACACAATCTGTGCCTAATTCAGGTGCTTTTTGGTCAACTGCAGCTCCATAAGCTGAAACTCGGGACAGTCATGGTAGACGAAAGACAGTATTGTACTACACCTCTCTTCCCTTGCCTTTCCTATTCTGGATGCTGACTTTCCACAGCCACACTTGCAGTTTTGTTGGTAGCTTCTGACACCTGAAGCACTTAATGAATAACTCCTTAAGCTTTAATCCACTCTCCAAAGCAACTGAATTATGTTTTTATCTTATTCCTCTGGGTTTTTAAATATTTCCTTTTACAGGTACCACCAAACAAATCTCAGCTGCTAACTGCAAACTATTTGCAGATACGAAATGTTGATAATGTTCAGAATCTTAGATGACCTTGTTAATTTGCTTAGACAGGAAACAAATGTGCACTTATGTCTGACCTGGTATGGGTGCGGTATGTTTGTTTTGATCCAAATGTCTTAAAGACTGGAATGCTCAGCAGATTACTTTTCTAAAGGAAGTTACATTCTGTGCAGAATTTGCCAATTTATTTTGTCCATGCAGTTTATTAAATTCATTTAACCTAAGAGTATTCTGTCAGTGCATAGTTCTTGTTTGTCTGAAAGTCTGTGTTTGCCTCGAACACAGTAAGCATTTACAGTTATCACAGTGTTGTGAGCTTTTTGTCTTACAGTTTGTACTGGGAAAGGCGATAGACAGAGGATGGGAACATTGGCTTATGAGAAATTTCCAGTGCTACATTTTATTGTATTGCCATGCAGTCTGTCCTTTACAAAGCAAGTAAAGCTGAATCGTAGACTACCAAGAGTATACTGGTACAACAGTGTAAATCCCAGGTCACTCAGCTGAATTCTATGGAGTTATTTTGCATTTACATCAGTTTAGGTATAAACCAATCTGTTCCCAATGGTTGAACACTAAAGACAATAATTGTTTTTTTTCTGTTCCATGTTTATAGTAAAGTGGTAATCAGTAGATGGGCGTGGTTGAATGTAAAACGGCTTTGTAAAGCTTGGCTGTATGCTTGTGCACAGTGACAATGAATGCTGGCTGTGGGGAAGCATTGGGGTGGACTAGTCATAACTGAAATAAAATACTGAGGGAAATCAAGCTTGAGAATCAGTGGAACCGGCCTTTTTCTCATAGAGCAACTGTCAACAAAAATAGAACTAGCCTAAACACAAAAGGTAGTGTGATGTAGTGAAATCGGTTGGTTCTGGAGAAACACTTTTAAGCAAGACGTAGCTATCCCCCTTAACCAAAAGGATGGGTAGCAAGGCATCTGGTGTGCTTAGATGACAGAGAGAAAGGGAAGAAGGCTCTCAAGAACTTTTGCAATGAAAGGAAGAATTGCTAATGGGAAGAAGAAGAAAAATGTGACTGAAGGCAAGGTGATTGAGCTTAACATCAACTGAAGGTGGTTCAAAAGCTGATGGTTCAGCTGACCACATCGTTCTGCCATTCATGAAAATATTAGCAGGGGCTGATATCAAGGTGTCCACTTTTGATAAATCTGTAATTGTTCCTGAGCAGTATGAATGTTCCACAACAGTCAATGAAACTGGTTTTTTGGTTGCAGTTTGCCTATGGTGTCCCAAACTTGACTCTGAAGGACATTGCTTGCAGTCAGACGCTCCTGGACCGCTTTATTATCTTCAGCAGCCGAAGAGCTCTCCCTTCTGTGCACAAGGCTATGTGTGCCTTGTCCCAGGAAAGCTTACAGAGAGTAGAAGATGCCTTGTATGCAAATGTTGACTTCTTTAAGCTATTTCAGCTGGTAAGTATTAACACCATCATCCTGCCTTATGCTGTAATTTTTTTGGCTGATATTTCATTGCCCTTCAAGAATTTTCTTTGTAATACATCACCAGTGTTCCAAGTGGTCTTTGTTTATTTACCCCTGCAAATGTAAGGTTATGGATGTGTAATTGTTAACCTACCATCAGCAGAACACTGGACGGTTCTGAGTATGCTTTGGGAGGAAACAGATGAAATTCACAGTACAACAGAACAAAAAGATTCAAATGCACTTTTGAAATCAGTGCGAGTGTGTAACTATTATTTGGTCTTTCCAGTCTGTGTAGCAAAACAGCGTGTGGCAAGACGCACAGGGACCTTGTTGAGGGTTCTGAAAATACTCCATACAACCCATCCTGTCATTGCTCCATCCCACATGACAGAATTTTTCACTGAAGTCAAAGCCATAATGCAGCTTGAGTTGGTATAGCCATATGAGTCTTTTAAAAAACAAATTAAACAAACAGAAAACCCAACCAAACAAACAAGTTGTACTGTGTCAGGGTAGGGACAGACAAAGTGACAAGACAAGTGTTGGTGTAGCACAAAAAGCCTTTATTGTTTTTCTTCCTCATCTGTTTATACTCTCTGTCCCCAGATGTGTCGTCTTCTCATTGGTTCAAAGTTATTATGTTTCTTTCTTATTGGATAATATTTTCACAGTTCATCACAACTCAGCACTTCCACCAAAGGAACACATACACCTCAGTCTGCTGTCAGCACTTTCGACAAACTTGTTTACCTTGCAGCTCTTCTTGTTCCTGTTTATTCTCTCAAGGGTAGACTGGAATCTTCTCAATGTCAAAGTCACTCTGTCCAGGGGCCTCAGTCCAGCTGAGGTCCCCCACAGTACTGGTTTTCATCACTCGCTTTATAGAAGTTTTTCCTTACCTCTGTTCATTTCCATTGCCTTTCTTTGTGCTGTTCCTGTTTCTGCTCTGACCTTCTTGCTGTAAATTAACAACAACTGCAATCTTGGTTTAGTGTGAGGTGTTATGCTGATATTTATATATATATTTGTTGTTATTTATACTTTATTATAGATTTTTAAGTAATATGACCATATATTTTTTTAATATATATATGTAAAGTCACATTGTTTTTTCTTTTGCACTCTCTTATTTTCCTAATATTTTTCCAGTGCTCCATTTGTATTCTGCACACTGAGCTGGTGCTTTCAGAGAACTATTCATGAAGACTCTTTCCTAACGACAGCAAGCTTAAAGCCCATCACTATGTATACATCTTTTGTGTTTGTTTTTCCCATGACTTTGCATTTTCCAACAGTGAAATGAATTTGCTCTTTTTCACCTTGTAACATAATGTTATGAGACCACCACATTGGCAGTTTGCTGTATACAACAGACAGGATGCATGAGCAGCTGCTAAAGTTACATAGAAAGTATTGCTTGGAGTTTTCTGCCACAGCAGTCTAGCATTATAATTAATTTAACATGGGTTTTATTCAGCTTGGAGTTGCTCAGAACTGGGAACAGAGGATGACAGAAGCTTTAACTGACACACCAACCAAATTACTGTTTGATTATTGTAGCACTGCTAGTCATTCTTTGTGCCCCTGTGATTTTGCCAATCCTGATAAGAATCCGTGGTCAGCTTTTGAAAGCTGCCATTTTCCATTTCTAAAAATATACTCTGATATCTTCATATATGATGTTTGCTGGAAGTAGCAGAGAATTCATGCTACAGTACTTCTAAGATAAGTTTTCAGCATTTAAGGTTTTCATGTGAATATGCACACTGCACTGCCTAGCTTTAAAATTAAGTTGCTAACAGAGCATAATTTTGCTGCCATCTCTGTGTTTAAACAAAAATAGACTCACGTGGGAAATAGGAACATAAACCTGAAACCAAAAGCTGGAGTTGTGAAGGGCTGGGTGTTCAGATGCAGGCTTATGGTCTGGTCAGTTACTACACCATCTGTCTGCCAAAACTTCCCCAGGTGTTGGAAGTCTGTGTGTGGAAGGGTATCCATAGCCTGATCCCCAGTGGGTTTTAATGTGCGCCCAGCTGTGGAGAAGAGGGATTATCTTTTCATGATGCCTAGAACAATGAGACCTCAAGTTGGTAGAAGCTTTTTCACACTCCTGTCATTATAGTTGCTAAAGTATAATTTTAATATCTTTCTGGTTTTTTTCCAAGGCAGAATTCCCCTTTTAAATCAGAATCCTTCTCAGTTACTCTTATTAAAGGTAGACTTTGCATAAGCATTCCCTGCCACAGTTATTTTTACAATGCACTTCTCCACCACTTTGAAATTAATGTTTCTTGTTGAAATTATGATCAGCATATTCAGGTATGTATGTGCATAAACATACACTCACGTACTTCATGTGCTCATGTGTTTTTGCTAGAAATTAAAGTAAACTCACATTTTTGATAGCAAAGCAGAGACAGAAATAAGACCCTTCCTTTACTGTCTGGCTGGCTCAGCTTCAGCAAGAAAAATGAGCCTCTTCTGGAGTTCTGCTGTATTTTAACCTGCCTGTTTAAGCTTCGTTTGAAGTTCTTTAAGCCTTATAAATAAATGGAAATAGAAGTCTTTAATACTTTATTGCAATTTTGGGTGAGGATAAGCAGTTCTTCACTAAGCATAGACACATGTTATTGAAACAGCTGCTTTGATCAGCACTTGATAAGTAATCAAACTGAGTGTAAATCTACAATCAGTTACATATGCAGAATGAATCTTCATTGAACTTTTTAAAATTCTACATTAGTTTTAAAACTTCTAGATTAGAAATACCTGGGTATTCAAGACCCAGGTTATTTTCTGCACTCTTACACTGTCAGTCATTCTCACTCTGTACTTCAAGGTCTTCAGGCTACAGTTGTATAGCGTAACCAATCACATACCAGAATGTGTTTTTGTGGAGCTCCTTGTTTGAGTCAATAAACGTTCCCATCTGTATGCTCTGATATTTATATCAGATGTGAGTGTAGTTTGTATATAATGTCTGCTGATCCTGTCTTATGTGCGCTTCTAGAGAACATGAACTAGCTGATTACAGATTCTGTCATTTTAGGACACTTCTATTAAGACCTGATTCATACTGAACACCTCCTGCAAGAAATAATATTTAGGAGCAAATGTGTAATTTTGCCCCTATTTATCTTTTCTTTTTCTCTAGCTACAAGAAGGAGGTTCTTTATTCCATTTTTATCCCAGGCTTTTCTGGTTTGCTTCAGATTGCTTACAATACCTGTTGCTCACAGTTTCAAAAAATCTAGGTTAAGGCAAGTGCTCCAAGTATCCTATATAATCTTTGCAGAGACTAGTTCCTCTCAGGGGACAAAGGAAAAGTGTATTTTGAAGCAGTGTGTGTTTATACTTCCTGCCTGAACTGCAAGTGACAGATCAGAACATGCTAACATAAGCTTTCCATAAAAACTCTTGCCTTTGTGATTCCCTGCCAGATACCGACACAATGCAACTCTCTTCTGCTTTCTTAACCACCTACTGACTGAAAGGAATGGCAGGGAATCAGCAGGGTGTATAGCTACACAGTTTGGGGAAAGTCTTTTGGGGGCTGGGCTTATCTCATAAATGTAACCATGTAGCTATCTAAAAGTCCAGCTTTATATCTTATTGTTACACCAGAAGAAATAGATGTCTGAGAAAGCCTAAGTCCAAACACACATGTGATTCTGTGGGCAGGTGACTAAGAAGGAGGCAGTAATGCAAACAAAGTGGTATGTGACAGCATGCCATGGTGTCAGCTGTTTCTTAAAAAGCCAGTGACAACTCAAGTGTTAACTTCTGCTGGAAAGGCTATTTGGCCAATTTGCAGGAGCCCGGAGAACTAATGGTTTCTGTCAGATCTGACAGATAGCGAGGACTAGACTGTCCCCAAAATCAGGAAATCTCTCAAGTCTAAAGTACAACCAATTATTTACCTCCATGGTGATTAGGGGCTTCTGTATCACAACTTTTGCTAAGTTCAGAAGTTACCAAGAGTCTGTACATCTCACTAGAAGAATAGCCTCTGCGAAAAGCAGCGTCTTGGAAATCCCAGTTCTTGCATTCTTCCTCCATTTTTGCACCTTTTGGCATGGTGGGCTTAGATAAGCAGAACAGATCTGAAGCTATGTTTTCAGTGCCCTGTGACTGCTTTAGCCTCGTATTAGTGAGAACAATTACACAGGCTGCTGTGTGAATCAGCACATGGATACTGGATTTGTGCCCTCACAAGACAGGCTTACAAGACTCACTGTTCCAAATAAATCATTTGAGCTAAAAAGATTTAATTTGGATTTTCTTCTTTCACTGTGTTACCTGTTGTCAATAGAAACGATACAAAACTCATCTGTATTTCTGATCTGTTCACAGCTTCCCACTGTGTTAGACAGAAACTCACCAGGTGCTGACTTGAAGACCTGGGGGAGGGTGCTGTCTAATGTCTCACAGGCAGTGCAAAAGGTAAGTGGTATAATAATAGATGGCATCACTTTTCTGCATCACACATAGTTACTCCTCCTTCTCCTTTGTTCTATTTATGTTCCAATTACCTGCTTTATCAGAAAGAAAACAGACTTATTTAGGAAGAGCTAGTTCCCTAGAAATTCGTTCTTCTCTCATTACAAAATAAATGTAGACATAAGCATTGGCAATCATGAAAACGTATCATTTTCTTCAGAAAAGACATGAGAGAACAAGAACTGAACATGCTGCCTGTGACCAGGACAGAGGAGATAAAAGGATGAGGTTCTGACTGCACCCAGACTTTACCAGTCTGCGCACAACTGAGGCCTCACCAGATACTTGCCTCCTTTCAGTGCTACAATTAACAAAGTCTTGTCTTACTGCAGCTTGCCAGGAAGCCAAGCGTTCAGGACCTTTTGATGGTTCTGCAACCATTTCTACAAGGCGTAAGGCCAGAATCCTTAGGCCACTTGGTGAGCTCCTTGTCTGATCTTTTCTGTGGCTACCCAGAAGGAGGTGGATCCAGAGTGCTTTCCTTCAACTGGTATGAAGACAATAACTACAAAGCTTTCCTGGGAATTGACTCGTCAAAGAAGAAATCCAGTTATCTTTATGATAGCACAACCAGTAAGTTTTTCCACCAAACCATTACAGAGACTGCAGATAGATGCACTTATGTTAGAATACCACTGTTGCTTTTATAAAATAACATTTTAAAGCACTTGTTTCAGGAAATTAGAGACGGGTGAAATGGTTGTACTTCATCCTTACTTCATAGCTGGAAGGAGAGAAGCCCAGGAGTTGAGAACTGACAGGAATACACATTTGCTTTCAATATAAAGGCATAACCATAGTCATCATCATAATTAAGGCAGTCCCTCTGTCTTATCTTCTGATACATGCTACTGATATTAGGAAGATCTAGATGCTTCTGAAGTGGGTTCAGAAAGATACAGTGCCACATTCTGGAATTAGTTTTCTCCAAGGTAATTTTTTTTTAAAGTCTCTCAACTTGATTGATGGCCTGGGGCACAGGAATTTAAGAGTCTCTCCTTTTAAATAATACTCAGTTTGATATGTGGCAGCTGTTGTCTTCCTGCATAAAAGTACATATATTTTGTAGCGGTTATGTTCTACAGCATAACTAAGTCTTAAATAGAAAGTATTTCAATTTACCAGGTTTTGTTGCTTTGATTTCCTCACTTATCTTCTTGCTCTTGTTATAGGAGGTAATCCAAAGAAGAACCAATTTTGTCTTTTCTGCCATTCGTTATTTTATCTTCTTATTATGCTCCCTTCTATTTGCTATTTAGTTTTCATCTACATCTAGACCTCAGCAATTTTTTCTGAACTAACAGTTGTATTGTAGCTAGTAGTATATCTCTGTGTCCCTTCTGCTATGGTAGGTATGGCTGTATGGTTACAAAGTACAGGTGAGCACTTTGCCTGTAGAGAGACTCCTATCTTTCACTGTGTGTGTTGATACTTGGCTCTAATTATATCTGAACCTTCAAAAGACTCATAAAAGGCCCAATATTCGATTTCTTTAGCCAGGGAACAAAACAGTTGAATGCTGTCCAAGTAAATTAATTACTTTGTAGTGCAAGAGTAAGATAGAAATGTTTACATTAAAATATTTAGTTCTAAATTATTGTAGGATCCAGTTCTGAACTGTTCTGGAGTTCAGCTTCCAAGCTTGGTGGATCTCCAGTCAAATAGTTTATACTGTGGAAGAATTAGCCACTAATAGGAGAAAAAAAATAGCTTCGTATCAGTATCAAGTACAATACAAAGGGGCTAAGTCATTAGGAGAAAAGCAATTAGAGCTCAAAATTATTTAGTGATATATGAGCTGTCTAGTTTCCTTCCATTTAAAATAACTGATAAATAACAGCAACTTTCAAATGGTTAAATTGATTTATGTTTGCTCTTCCAATTTCCATCACGTCTACAACTCCAGTATCTACTTAGTAGTCTTTTCCATTTGTTCAGACATTGTACTTCTACATTGCAGAATGTGCTTAACCCACTCAGATTCAAAATGCTTTAAACTGTCCATATTGCCAGTAAAAAAGCCCTGCAGGATGTTATGTATGATAGGATTTGAGTAGGGTTTCATAAAGACTGTCTTTCTTTCTGTCTTTAGCACCCTTTTGTAATGCATTGATCCAGAACTTGGAATCAAACCCTTTAACCAAAATAGCCTGGAGTGCTGTGAAGCCCCTGCTGATGGGAAAAATTCTCTTTGCTCCTGATTCACCTCCTGTACGGCGAATCCTAAAAAATGTAAGAAATTCTGAAATACAGAAATGTATGTCTCTAAAAAATTGCATTCTAAGAAGCATCTTTTGAAAAACAGTGACTCAGCTACCTCAACCTAATCCGATTTTCCTCTCAGAACTCTATTTGTTCTGATGATAATCAGAGGAGGGACAGTTACTCTTCATTTAAAAAACAGGAGACACATCTTCACTGATTCATCCCATCTTGGTCTACATTATATGCTTTTTCCAGGCCTTTTGTTGGCATGATTCCACATTGACACTAGTAAAAATAGTAATGCTTATGTGTATTTTACAGATGTAGGAACACCAGCAGCTCTGTGCCAGTAACCATTTAAATGGGGCAGCTGTGAGGCTTGGATAGACAAATTGAGACCTAACACTGAGAGATTACAAACAAATAGCAACATCTTGGTTTAGTATTATTTATGTTGAAATGATTAACAATTTTTGCTTCATGAAAACAGGATGGAGCCTTCAGCTAAGTGCTTGAAGTTGGGTGAAATTAATCTCAGCAGTTAAATCAAGGTTGCATGTGACCTAGGTTTTGGCCACCTCATAACCACCAATTCACCTACTCTCAACATTTGTATAAGGCACAGAAAAACAGCTGCTTGTAGTTCACAAAGGAAAATATTAGGTTTACTGCAGCCCAACATTTCAAATCTTAACTAACACCTTAACTATGAGAGTATCTGTCTTCTCCAACTGCTTTCCTATTATTCATCTACCCACATCATAATCTTCCTTTTTAGTTCTTAATGGGGAGAAATATTAAAGGGGAAAAAGAGATGAAGAAATCATTATATCTAAAACCTGAGTATTTAAAGGAATTGAGGTTAACTGCAGTTAATATGCACTTGTTTTTTCCATTACATATAGAACAGGAATTTATGCTAAAATACTTTGATTCCAGTTGGATTTTACACATTTTTTTCCTGAGGATTATTAACATTTCTGCTATTTTAACAAGTTTATTAAATATTGAAGGTAAAAACGACAACATTTATTAGTTACAGGTTTCACTGTTACTGAATGGCTGGATCATAAATTCTGTTTATCTCCTTAGCTTTCTAACAAAATTCCTGCTGCTTTATTCCTCAGGCAAACTCCACTTTTGAGGAACTTGAACGCCTCAGACTGTTGACCAAATCTTGGGAAGAAGTAGGACCTCAGCTGTGGTACTTCTTTCAAAACAGCCTGCAAATGAATATGATCCGTGTATGTTATAACTTAGCAGGGGTGCTCAGTAAGAACAGCCTTTAACCATCCTTTATTATTACCAAGGGAGAAGGGAATTAATTAGAAATATTTGACTGGAAATACAGCCTTTAAGGCTGTTAGGCTGGTTACTGGGCTTGGTTTGAAGAGTAGTCTTAAATGCGTTACAGCATCTCTGTGACAAGACCTCAGATCTGGACACTATCTAGAATCTGGCTAGTGACTTAATAAAGACAACAACCTCTGCTTCTCTTTCTCTCCAAAATGTCCTTCAAGAACAGACAATTTGATTTTCTTGGGCTCTGCATCAGCAAAAGCAGTTGGACCATGTTTTTACTGGGTCCAGCAATTTACTACCTCAGGAGATTTCTTGTTTCCACACCCCTTAGATCTGACTTTGATCACCTGCAAGGAATATCTGTAGTTAAAGTTTATAAAGCAGTTCATGCTAGAGAAAATATGTGTTTTTCCACACTCTTTTCTATTAGTTTAGACAGTTATTACATTTATCCTCTTGCTTATAGGAAAAAATGCAATAAATAGTCAAGGATAAATTAATTTTCATCCATTCTTCAAGTCTCACCTCCAAATTAACTATATAATTGCCCATTTGTAGAATTAATCCCTTGGCATACCCTTTTGTACTACTTTATAGCTCAGAAATAGTTATAGAAATGGAAACCTTTCTAACTAAACAGGACATGTGAAGATTGTTGTAGTGAAGCTGTCCTCATGTGTTTCCTCAGGACTCTCTGAAGCACCCTACAGTGAGGGACTTCTTGAACAGCCAGCTGGGTGCTGGAGGCTTAACTGCTGAGCATATAATCAACTTTCTCCACAATGGGTCTCCAGGGAGTCGGGAGAAGGGAATGGCAGACTTCGACTGGCGGAACATCTTCAGGGCTGCAGACCAAGCTCTGCGTTTTATTAATCAGTATCTGGAGGTAAGGTCAGCCCCCCACAGCTGGGAATGCTTGTAGACAATATCTTAAAGCGGGGTAGGCAGCACTTGGGGTCTTGGCAACAGACAAGAAGGTTAAAATCATAAGACTTCTTCATTTGTTTCAAATTTAATCTCAATATTAAAAGCATGTTTTTAAAATAATACAGCAGTACAAAAATATGAAAAGTTATTAAGAAAAAACCTTCAATTTGGTGATCCCCAAATGCTATATTCAAAACGTTGGTTGAATGTCTGAACACACTGATGCCAAGAAGCAGAAAGTGAATGCTAAACCTCAAGGAAATGTTGGGTTTTTCTATTGTTTGGGTTTTTTTTATGAGCACAAATAACTGACAGGCCACCAATTTCAGCAAGACCAGTAGCAGTAAAGGTAGTAGTTCTTTGGTAAGTTTCCCTTCATGTTTTTAAGCACCTAATCAAAATTCCATTGAAACCAATGAGGGAGTTTCCACTGGTTGTGTAGCCTCTTCTGACAAGATGTCTGTGTCTCTTTCCTGGAATCTGTAACCCCCTTCTCTAGGATGCTGTGTTTTTAGTGGTGCTCTCTGGGGCTTTTTGAGAGCCACAGTGCAGGAAGTGAGGTAAGTTTTCATTACATACATAAAAAATGCTAAAAATGTAGATGAGAATATCAAGCCATTGTAAAAACACTTTGGAATGTACTTTTAGTAAGAGATTACTCTGATATGGGCAATCTAACTCAGTGGTAAGTTCATCAGACTCAGACTAAGTCCACTGCAAAAAAGGTTGTATTTTTTCCTAGAGGGCTAGGCAAACTGCTGCATCCATTCCTTCCTAGAGCTGGGAAAGTAACACAAAGGAGATTTTTTGGTTTTTTTTTAATCCTATATATTTCTGACTGCAGGTAAAGATGTGTTTGGAACTGGACCTGAAATGGGGTGGATTCCTGCTAAGTTAGATAAATGAAATGCCAACTCTTCTTTGCAAACTTAGGAGCCCAGGCAAAATTAGTGAACCCTGCAATGTTGCAGGTGAACTCCAAGAGCTTAAAAAGCTGTTGTTGTTGGCAGTAATAGTAATACTGGGGAACTCAACACTTAGCATCCACCATATGAAGGTCAAGGTCGTTACAGAGATTAATTGCATCTTCCAGACGTTTCTGAAAGAAAAATAAATAATCAGTTATTATTTAGTGGTTAAATAAACTGAGCCTCAAGAGAAAATTGATACTAGATGTAGGCAACAGGACCAAGCCTAGTGCTGATAACTCCAAATCAGTTCAGTCCAAAAGACCATTCATCCCCTGCAAGAAGGCAGGAACTGAGTTTGTCTGCTTTCCTATAGCTCTTACAAGAGGGAACAGTAAAGCTTTTGCACACAGCTCTGCTGATTCTTCTGAGGATCTTTTTGCATCACGTTAGCAGAATTATTTCTTACTCAAGCTGAGTGGAATATATTGCTTGCAGCAGGTCAGTGCTGGAACATCCACAATATCAGGGCAGTTACTGTACCTGGTGATAGATCTTTCTGTCCTAAAGATTTTTTTAATGAGCTTATTCTTTTCAGTCTGCTGTTTACACTGCGTTGTTTGCGTTTGACAATGTTTTCACACTGTGCCAAGCACAATGAGAACAAATGGCTCCCTTTGAGGAACACCTTACTCCTTACCATAGTATGCAATGAGGAGAGGTGTGCTGCCAGCAGCTATCTTTGGAGACTCCAGATCTCTGCTACAACCTGTGGTGCAGCTGAGAATCCCATATATGATGCAGTGGCTGCTCATCTTCACCACTTCAAGAATTTCCTGTTCTTCCCTTTGATTACCTCAGGCCACAGAATAGCAGAAGAGTTTGAGAGTGCTACCTGGTCACCTCTTAATGCTTGTTGTTTTCCAGTTTTATCTTCCAAACCTGTTCTTCGTATTTTAGTTTTGATTTTTCCCATCTTCATTGGACCATTTAAAATTGTTAAGTAATTAGTAGGACAAGATCTAAAATAAATTTTCCCAAGTGGCTGGTGAATGAATTTTGCTATAGTGAGGTTTATGAAGGCACAAGCTGTGCTGCAGTTCACTTAAAAAAATACTTAGGTAGAGTATACAGCGTTTGTTTAGAATGCAGCTGATGTTAAGAGAGAGCAGTTCTAGCTTTTGGCTAGTAGATTACAATATAAAAATCTCTTTTCACTTTCAAATTGTGTGAATTATTGCAACACTGGTATCTTAGCCTATGTTCTTATACAAGCTTTGGTTTAATTCTACTTACATAGAAGCTCTATGAGCACTTGCGTTTTCTGTTCTGAACACTTGCTGCTTCCTTGACTGGACCCCTGGATAAGAGCCTATACTGCTCCTCAGCCCAGTCCAGACACTGTCTGTTCTGCTGTGAAAATCTAGACAAGATCAGTTGTCTGACAGTGCTTTACCAGTGCCATTTCCACAGATTCCTCCAGAAAACTATATTAGTTTTTCCACAGCTGCAACAAGTACCTTGAAAATAATTCCTTGTAACAAAGAACAGGAACTAGTCCTCCAGACCCTGCAAAGACACAGCTACACAGCAGGACTTTGCAGTGGAAACACTAGAACATTGGCAAGAACTAAACTGAGTTAACTCAGTTAACTCTGTGGGATAAAGGTATTCCCCAAAAATTAATACAACCTGAGCCATCAGTCTAATTTGATTTCTCTTCTGGCAAACAAACCATGAAGATTTCTGCCTTATTTTGCTTTCTGATATGGAATCCTATGTAGTTTAATTTTGTAAAGCAGACTAGGAGAATGAACATTTGCAAAGCACCAGAAAGAGTAAAGCTACAAAATAATAAAGTTATAAATTTAAGCATTGTTTTGTTTTGCTGCCAGTTAAAAATAGATTTTCATATAGTTCCCATTAATCTATGATACTTCAAGTTTTAAAGGAAACAGAGCATGATTTATCACTGGGAAAGGTTAAATAAAGGAGTATTTAAGATGACTGTCCATTAAATAAATTGCCTGTATGAGCACTTCAATGTGGAGTAATTGTTGGTTATTGACCTGCAAGAGATGATCAAGAAGATAAGATCAAACAAGTCAGCCTTCTGAAATTTTATGAAGCAATTCAATAAGTATCTTCCCAGTCCATCGGGGGGTTAAATACTTCTACTCCTGGTAATGTTTTGCAAATTCAGAAGGGTGGAAGCTAAATATATGAACATAAATCTTATTTTTCACAGATAACTCGTGATAGAGTTTGTAGTGTTCACAATCTTTTTGCCTTACAATGCCTGTTAAATGAGGGGACACAAAGGCTTTGGATGTCGATGATTTGATGTCTTGTATATGGAGTGATAATAATACATTTCACAATAATGACAGACACTAAGAAAGAAGACAGTTTGCTGTGAAGGGTAAACTGTGTTTTATTATTGGGATAGCAGAAGCATTCTAACTTAAGCCAGCAGGTTGATCGCATGCCAGAATTCAACAGGGACACAATATCAGTAAGATAAATTGACTAGTTGACTGGTATTAAATAGGAATAAATGCCTAAATACCTAAGAGACTGTAAGATTCAAATTTATGCTTTGACTCTGCCAGTGCTTCGCTTGACAAAGTGCTTTTCAGCTGAAGTCCATGGCTAATGTGCTTTTCTCATGGATCAGTCATCCTTTAGCTCCCTGGTGTTCACTCAGGCACTTCCTAGGCTGAGAAAAAATGTCCCCAAACTTGAAAAAGAATAGTGTTTTGATTCAACTGGACTGCTAAAAAGCTTTGATGGCCAGATTTATTTTATAGCTGAGTTAATTTTATCTCCTGAATGGAGACTGTGAAGACAGTTCCTGATAGTGGGACCTCCTCTGAGCTGCAGTGTTTTAGCCTTTCCAATTCAGGTATTTGCATTTTTGAGGTAACCTTCCACGTATAGTCTTAACTGGCAGAGTTCATGTTTCTATGGTTGGATGATTACAGTGCCTTAAACATATAAAAAAAAGTAAAATTCGTTCTATCTAATTTCTAAACATGACACCATAGGCTTTGGATGGACCTAGTCCTGGCTGTAAGTTTTGTACAGGTACGTCTAAATTTGCCCTGTGATTCTGTCATACTTCAATTGCAACAGCACCTCCAGCTTTAGTGGTCACCCTTGCTTGATTTCTTATTTATTGGGATGAACACTTGTTGAGCTTGAAGGAGGAAATCTTTAAATATCAGGAATAAACTGCTTTCAAAACTATTCCATCCACTCGCATTGACCACAGCAATGCTTTATCTGAGGTTTACAGTTCTTTTTAGGGAGAATGGTGAAGCGTGGCCAGCAGACTGAGAGAGGTGATTCTGCCCCTCTACTCTTCTCTGGTGAGACCTTACCTGGAGTACTGCATCCAGCTTTGGAGTGCTCAACATAAGGAGGACATGGAACTGTTGGAGTGGGTCCAGGGGAGAGACGCAAAAATTATCCAAGGGCTGGAGCACCTCTCCTATGAAGACAAGCTGAGAGAATTGAGATTGTTCAGCCTGGTGAAGAGAAGGCTCTGGGGAGACCTTGTAGCGACCTTCCAGGACCTGAAGGGGGCCTACAAGAAAGCTGGGGAGGGATTGTTTATAAGGGCATGTAGTGATAGGACAAGGGGGAAAGGTTTTAAACTAGAGCTGGGTAGATTTAGATTATACATTAGGAAGAAGCTCTTTACTATGTGGGTGGTGAAACACTGGAACAGGTTGCCTAGGGAGGTGGTGGAGGCCTCATCCCTGGAGACATGCAAGGTCAGGCTTGATGGGGCTCTGAGCAAGCTGATCTAGTTAAAGATGTCCCTGCTCACTGCTGGCGGGTTGGACTGGATGAGCTTTAAAGGTCCCTTTCAACCCAATGCATTCTATGATTCCATGATAATGATGTTTCTGAGCTTGTATTGATACTGCTGTGTGTTTTAAATTTGTCACAAGAATTAGACTTGGAAGGGGGAAGCTCTCAGGAAGGAATCATCAACATTCAATAGTTTCAGTGTAAGCTTTTCAAGCTGAAAGTAACAACTACTTCAGATGAACCTACATCCCTTTTCTGTTTTCAGCCACTGATATTTGCTTTAATGTATACCTCTTACTGGTTTATTCCCATGCGATTTTTCTCTTGGTGATTATTTTTAGTGCTTGACCTTGGATAAATTTGAAGGTTATCTTGATGAAACTCAACTGGCTCATCAAGCCCTTCATCTGCTGGAGGAAAACAAGTTCTGGGCTGGTGTGATTTTTCCAGACATAGAGCTTACAACCAGAAGTCTTCCACCACTTGTGAAATACAAGATCCGGATGGACATAGATGCAGTGGAGAAAACAAACAAAATCAAAGACAGGTAAGTGATGGTTATTTCAGTTCTTGCCTGCCATAATATGAATATGAGAGACATTAGGATGTTAGTAACTGCATTGGATACATGCCTGAAATCCAACTGTATTCACCAATAGTTAGTATCTAATGTAGAACAGAATCTGTCTCCAGTTACCAAGTACTGACACAAGTGGTATCCTTCTTGTGCCAGTTAGGCCAGGCAGTGGGTAGGTGCAGATACATGGCAAAGGGAATGACTTTGCTTCGAGTCTGTTCAGAAACTTGCTTAAGTTTTCAGTTGGCTCCATCACTGGGAGTGGCAGACAAGGAAGTCCTACATGGATTGTGACCCAGCTGTCCTCTGCTTGGACAGCTGAACTTCTCTGCTGTTCCTCCTCAAGTTCCCCTCAAATGGACTCACGTAAAGGGTTAGCAGCAACGATTTCTCAGGATTGTCTACTCAGACAAATGTAGTGATGTAGGGTAGTTGCAGTTCAGCTGTTTCAGTTTAATCTCCAGGGATACTGTATTCCAAATACAGTTATTTCTATTTGAGAACAGTTATTCTGCTGCACAATTAATTTATGTACATTTTTGGCCAGAATTGCTATTCTGTGTTAGTGTATAGATGATTAAATGAAACAAAAGAACCTTCCAGGTCATATACTTTCTCAAGCAATATGGTCTGACAGACCAAAATCTAGAAAAGACAACTCCAGGCAATACCCCTACGATTTCAGTTGCTAAGATTTTTCTGTTGTTGATTATTTACTTATTTTCACCCCGTCCCCTCCCCTAAAGTCGCTGTTTACCCAAATCATTTCCATGTGAATTTTCTTTTGAGGTACTGGGATCCTGGTCCAAGAGCTGATCCTGTGGATGACCTACGTTATATCTGGGGAGGATTTGCATATCTCCAAGACATGATTGAGCATGGGATTATAAAGACCCAGACCAACACTGAAGTGCCATTAGGAATTTATTTGCAGCAAATGCCATATCCGTGTTTTGTGGATGATGTGTGAGTAAAAGCAGTTTATCTTAATTCTGATGCATACTTGGATTGCTGGGTGCTTTAAGACTCTCAAGCACCAGTTCTAACTCTAGTCTTAAAGTATACACACAGGAGCAATAACTGAAACAAAACTGAATGAATTTATTCTTTTCCTTATCCTTCCATAACCCAGACATAAACTGCCTTTGCCAAGATTCTACCCCATATCTCAATCCTGGTCTTTGTTGTGTCCAGGCAACCAATGTCCAGGCCTAAAATGAGCACAGAACATTGGCCCCTTAAAAGCTGCAGTTTTCTTCCAATTTTTGCATATCACACAAAATCCAAAAACTAATCTGGGGATTTTTTTGCCTTACTTTTCCAGGCAATAATAATAACCTAACCTAAACCTTCACATTGATTACAGTTGAGAATCTGGTGTCAACAGGGAACTCCAAGTGTAACACTTGGATCCCTAGCAGTGTCAGCCCTGGAACTACCCTGTGATTACACAGGACACAGCAAAAATACGATCTTTTAAAAAGCTGTTATCTAACTAAGCCTCATGCTATAGCATATGACCAGTGCCTGTAGCAAACCTAAACACAAAGCATGGACCCATATTAGAACAGACACTGCATCCTTCAGGTAACTGTACAAACTCCATTCAAGTGTAGTAAGCGTCTTTTCCCTAATTGCATCTCTAAGCCCCAGCTTCTTTTTATATCCAAAGAATAATTTTGTAAGGAAAAATTGAACAGAAAAATGCTTGTCCCAGTGGTATTGGTACCTCTCTTGCTGTCTCTGTTAAGTCTTGAAGAATCAAACAACCCACTCTCTTGAACTATATTACAAAACTCTAACCCCAGACTTAGTTGTATCTAGATATATCAATACCAAAAGCTGTAGGTTTTGATCCTACAGGCCTTGCAGAATCCCAGGACAATTTAGACTCTTGAAACTCTCTTTTTCCGGAATCCTAACCACATCCTTAAACAGGATTTCACTTAGAAATACATGTCATTTATCTATGATCAAACTGGATGTACAGCATTCGTTTCTGTTAACATCAGTGCTTTTCCTTCCCTTGTGGATGCTACAGTTTTCAACAATAACCTGATACTCTCTAACTTTCTTCTTCCTAATTTTCCTCTCCCTAGTTTTTATGAAGATTGACTGGTTTCTGTCTTAAATGTCATAGGAATCTAGCAAAGGATTCCAGGACTGTGGCTGCAGTTTATTATTGCAGCCACCAGGAGTTTCTTTTCTTGGTCTTCAGCAGCACTGAGAATACTGCAGAGGCAGAAACCCCATCGTTGCAAAAGTTCTCTGAAGCCTTCAGCAGCCACACACAGTTCAGGGCTGAAATCCACACCCAGTGATGGCCAGAGAGCCTGCTTAAGAGAAGCATACGCATCCTTATGGTAAACGTGTGTGTTGTGCTATGCATGGCCTAGTGCTGGGTTACCTGTGTCCACCAACAGGCAAAACCCAGCGTAGCCCAGGCCATTCCACAAACACATGCCTTTATTTCAGCAGGCCAGATTGCTCTTCAGGAATTTTTGGTGAGAAATTTCAAATTACATTTGCTTTGACAATGGAATAGCAATGATAGCATATGGCAAAAATGTAGTTCTGTAGGACTCAGACTTAGGAGCAAAGAACCTTCAGCTTCCTTTCTGGTTTTAGCTGCTCTAAGCTTTCAGCTTTTAAAGAATCAAGTCCATTTGGTTTTCAGGGTAATTTGATAGAAACATTGCAATCGTAAATTCAGAGAAAATGTTTTCAGCATTTTCACTTCAAAACCTCTTTCTCACCGTGACAGAACACTTGGGACAGTGCTTCACCAAGGATCATCTACCAGGGCTAAGCAGCCATAGAGTCTGGGGGGAGGAATGGGGAAAGGGAGCAGTGCCTTCATCACAGTATATGAAGGGCCACCCACAGCAGCCTGTCCCAGCCCTGTCCTTTTGGAAGTGGTGCTATATGGGACAGTCCAAACACATTCCCCGAGTCATGGTTTGTATGAATTTCACAGCCTTCCTGGCAGCATCTGATGCTTTTAATGCTTAATTTGTTTAATTCTTTTGCCAGTGAATCTTGGGAGCATAAAAAGACAGTGACACTCCCAAACTGTTAACATTAGTATATGTCTTAAAATATTCTTTATACATCATGGTGAAAGCATCATGGCAATTCACTGTGAAGAGAGATGTATTTTCATGAGCCACCGTATATTTTGTAGTCTTCAGTAACCCTTAGAACCTCTTTGCCAAAGAGAAATAAAATTTGTCTGTCTCATGGAAGTGCAGCAACCATTACTTCATTAATATTTAGGTTGCTTAACAATGTGTTACTGATGTTTAGACGGAGAATTTCCAGTCCCATCTTTAATGAATGCATTCTTCCCCTCTCCTTTTTCTTTTTTTTTCTTTCTTTTCATCTCAGTATTTCTCGGTTTTACCTACATTTATTTCATTTCTCCCTTCTTGCTTTGGTAGCTTCATGATCACCTTAAACCGCACCTTTCCCATCTTCATGGTGTTAGCTTGGATATATTCAGTTTCCATGACCGTGAAGAGTATAGTGCTGGAGAAGGAAATGCGTCTGAAAGAGGCTATGAAGAACAGAGGTATAACTAATGGGGTGATTTGGTGCACTTGGTTCCTAGACAGCTTCGTCATGATGTCTGTGAGCACGTTCCTCCTCACAGCACTGATTATGGTAAGGATTGCCACAACTCATGGTTGTGTTTGCAAAGCTGATACCGATTTGCCGTTGAGAAAGCGTAGCAGCCGTTCATAGCGAGATGGGAATGGCTGCTGGCCTGTTCTAATCACAGCACACAGCAGGCACATTCTTCTAGGCAGACCTCATGACAGCATCAGCACTTGGCAGCGACAGAAAGATGAATTCACTAGTAAGATTTATTGTGAGATCCCCCACAGAACAATACATCAAGCTGATTAGTCTGTATGTTGTATCTCCTGTAGAGAGGCAGATCTCCCAATAAATAATTGTTGCTTTAAATAGACAGGATCATAATATGATGAAATTTAATCTTGTAATTAATTTATAATATTCAGTGCTTGCTTGCTTGCTTAGAAATTGTGTCACTATTTAAATGGAAAAGGATGCTGCAAGGAAAGAACTTTTAGGACAGCTGGAAAGAAAGAAAATAAAAGAAAACAAAGTTTTTTTGCTCCTGGGACTCAGAATCGCTGTAAAGAAATTATGTCACTATTTAAATGGAAAAGGAGACTGCAAAGGAAGAACTTTTAGGACAGCTGGAAAGAAAGTAAATAAAAGCAAACAAAGTTTTTTGCTCCTGGGACTCAGAATCGCTGTAATTTTTCAACCTTTTCAAGACAGTTTGGATGCTGTCTCTAAGGACTACCTCTTATCTCTGTTACCTGAGAACCAAGCTCCTCCTAGCTGCTATATTTAGTTATATAAATCTAGAGCATTTTGATAAGGAAGAATACCCTTTCATCTTTTCTGATATGTGCAACTTTTCTGGGAAGGACATAAATTAATAGTTAGGGTTCAATCCGCTCTATCTTATTAACCCGCCCTGATGAGTTGTTCTGGTTCCTTGAGGTTCCTTTACAGCTTGGGTGGATAGAGAAAGCTTACTTTATTTGCTACAGGTAGTTAATACCAGAGAGAAATGTGCTTATACCTATAATTGACTTATTTCTTGGATTTCACTGTGCCAGTGTGAGGCACCTTTGCAAATACATTCTTAGGAGAGATTGTATCACTGTTGGTAAATCCGTCTCAGAGGCCCAGTGGGATGTTGCAACAACGTTGAGAGCTATTTATGGCCTTACGGACTTATTTGAGCCTTATATAAGGCTCAGAACAGAGTTGAGCCTAATAAATAGGTCTCGATATTGGTTTTTAGGACTAACTAGATCATCAGCAGCAGTCCATGCTCTTCTTGAGAGGGAGCGTTTAATCTACAAATCTCTAAGGAAGAAAGGTCAATAAAAGTTCAGCCAGAAGTTAGTACACAAGGATCAACTCTAAAGAAGAAAGGTCAATAAAGTTCAGCCAGAAGTTAGTACACAAGGATCTCTGAGAAACTGCTCTTGGATTCCTCAGCTGTGATACCCTTCTGGAGTCTGAATGTCATTTAGGTGCAGAAGCTTTATCATTTCTCTGAGGTGTTTTGGGTTTGTTTTTGTTTTGTTTTAAAGATGCATTTTGTCAGGCTTCCTGACATTGTCTTTCCTACACATTGAGCAAGTGGTCTGAGAAGATGAGATCAATTAAAATTTATTATGGTAGTTCATATAGTTTTATTTAAAATTTATTAATCTTAATGAAAAGGACCATCTTGCTTGGCATCTTTTGCTTATTAAGACGGAGACAGAGTGTTCATTTTCAATCAGTAATGATCTTAATTCAGTCATCAGATATGACTATGAACTCCACAGCCTATTGTACTAACCTGAAGTCACAGTCCAGGAGCAGGGCTAAAGTTAGATGAAGGGCTTGTTATTGTAAAGACTCAGGTGTTGAAAGATTACTGCCTAGGAGAGCTGGAGGTCAGATTGGGTAAAAAAGACTGGCTTATTACAGATTACATGTCAATGGCAATTCTGGACTTTTCTGCTAGTTCAGAAAGCGGTGATCCTTCTAAATGTTTCCATTTTCCTTTTGCTTACAGCGCGGACAAGTCCTACATTATAGCAGTCCACTTCTCTTCTTTCTATTCCTACTGACATTCACCACAGCCACCATAATGCAGTGTTTCTTATTCAGTACCTTCTTCTCCAAAGCAAATCTGGCAGCTGCCTGCAGTGGAGTCATCTACTTCACCTTGTACCTGCCCCACATCGTCTGCTTTGTCTGGCAAGACCGCATGACTGTGAATCTGAAGATCCTCGCAGTAAGCCTATGCTGATTACACGGTATCTTTGGGTTCAAATTTTAGCTGCTCTTCTCGTTGGGCCTATGTGAGTAACAAAGCATTGCACACCTCTTTCTCTCTGCTTTTCTGATTCAGAGAGGAAGACCTCTGAATCTCTCAAATAATTAGGGATTGCAAATGAATATGCCTTTAGCAAGCCTAGTGACCAAGAGATATTTTCATGGCTTTTAGAAAACTCAATAAAATGTATTTTACTTTTTGAATACTAGGAAATTAGCATAATGTTCAAAAAGCTTTGAGTGCTTCCTTCTAAGTCAAAGCAAATTTAATTTCTGGTACATCTAATAAATAGAAAGCTAATTCACAAAATGAGGACAGTTACCTTTCTCGTGTGCTATAATCTTATTAACAGGGTAATGTCTAAGGATGAGAAGACCTCAGGTTCACATTCCTTTTTTAGTTGAACATAGAGTTAGGATTTGACCTCAAGTGCCAAAGCTCTGAGAAATATCTTCCATCTAAGCAGTTGCAGGCATTCTCCATGTAGAGCTTCCTTGTTGGTTCTCTTCCAGAACTGGTAAGATACTTAACCATTCAGTGGAGCTGGAAACTTCTTGCTGTTTTTTTGAAATGGAGCTGTGAACGTACGAAATGATTCAGACTTATTTACTGTTGCCCAATGAATCAGGAAGGAGAGTGGGTGTTTGAATCCAGTCTCCCCATCTTTGCTGAGTAATGTTACAACCTCGGTAAAAGAGAAGTATTGCATTCTCCTTTTGCACTAGGAAATCTAATGAAACAGGAAAAACTCTTTAAAACTTATAACTGAGTGTAAATATGGCTATGAATCAGCTTTCTTAACTGTAGTACTATACAGATGTAGCATACACCATTTTTAGTTCTACCAATTAAGGCAATAAAGCGCACGACTTGATCCTGTCATTAAGTCAGGAAATGAGTGGGGTTGGCCTCTGACACATTCTGTTTTGGGAAGAAATCTTGAGACTAGCACACAGTCTGAGCATAAAGACAACTCTCTTTTCACCCTAAAGTGAAGGAGGCAGCTGTGTAAGAAAGGATATTTGCTGGACAGAAGTCATGGATGTTCTCTGTTCCTGATACATCTGGTCTTATATTTGTTGTTAAGATTAGTTTGTAAGGAAGAGCTAATTACAAGGGATGATAAGGGATGGAGGTGTGCATGGTAGAAGAAAAAATCAATTTCTTAAGGACAAGTAAAGTTATTGAACAGTGAATGTCTTGCTGAAAACCAAACTTTTTTTACTTACCACATTACAATAATGCCTCAGTGAGAGTCGCTGCTGGGATCCCTCTTGTCTCCTCATTTTCCTGAGGTCTGTCATTCCTGGCTGAACTACATATCCTGTGAAAGAGCACTTTATCGCTTTTTGCTCTGTTTTTGTAATGCAACGTTGAAGAGGATGTTTGGATACTGGTTTATTTGTTGTGTGAGAACTGGGTAGCAGACACACCAGGGGAGGGGATGGTTGTGGTTTTCCTTATCCTGAGCATCTGGTGTACCGTCTGTCTTGTTACTCGTAGCAGCCCTGCCCCGTACACTCAGGAAATATTTTGATTCTCCAAGATAGGCAAAGGTGTACACTGCAAACTTCTAAATACATCTGTGGTATTCCCTGAACAGACACATCAGTGGAAAAAAACAAGCTGTGAATGTTGCCTAGTAGCTAAAGAAAGAACAGCCAAAGTTTAATTCAGTCTATTATGGCTAAATCTGCTTAGAACTACCACCATTCAGAGGATTAAATGTTTCAGTCCAAAATAAAAGTGAAAACACTCTTCCCTGATCATTTGTTAGGCATTATCAAGTTTAGAAGTCCAGTCCCTACAGGTCTTCTTTTTTTTTGTGGCTGCTTTACAAAATGCCCCTCTGTCTGAGTTGAATGTCCTTTTTCCTTTATTTCAGAGTTTGCTTTCTCAAGTAGCTTTTGGTTTTGGTACAGAATACTTGTCGCGCTACGAAGAGCAAGGTCTTGGCCTACAGTGGGGTAACATCAGAACCAGTCCCTTGGAAGGAGATGAATACAGTTTTCTTTTTTCCATTAAAATGATGCTTTTTGACGCTTTTCTCTATGGAATACTTTCTTGGTATCTTGATAATGTTTTTCCAGGTACGTCAATTCCTTATTCATACGAAATGGTGGTGGTGGTTGTAAACTGTGTGAGTCTATTCAGTCTCTGAGTGTTCTCTGTCAGAAAAAGAGTATTTGACATTGTAGACTGAGTCTTATCCAGTATAGCACCACTGGTTTATTAAGGGCTTCCACTTTTCTCTCTTTCTTTTTCCTTTCTCCTAATTTAGTCCTGAAATGATGGAAAAGGAGGAAAGAGTAAGAAGGTGGATACGATTTCTGGTCCTGTTTTAAGATTTAAATAGGAAACAAATCTACAAAAATATCATTGTTAAAAGCTGATTTGTGTATATATCTTTCTTTTGAGAAGTTTCCACCATTTCTGTGGGAATTTTAATTTTTGTTAAGAATAGAGAAATAACAATTGTAGTTCATTTCTATACTATGGCCACGTTAGGCCAACTGTTTCTTAAAGCGTGGTACTTTTCCCTGAAACTTACACTGTGTCCTAGGCAGCTGTGAAAGTTCCTGTGTGGATTTATTTTATTTCTAAATGGGAATGCTGGTTCCAGTGCTAGTTTACAAAAGGGCTTTCTTTGTTATCAATTACAAAGTTTGGGAACTTTCTTTGTCAGAAGATGGTTTGTCCTTGTACCTAAAATGGTCATCTTGTTTCTTATTGAATATTGTTACAGTATAATAAATGCAGACAGAAGATGCTGTACAAGCAAGTGAGCTTTCTTTTCATTAATTTATTACTCCCACGTGTGAACTGCAGTTCCAGAATGTGTTTCTTGGCAGACTGCTATCTTTTTTTTGGTTTCTTTTGCTTGAGCGATTACTCAGAATTTGAGATATTGCAGATTTTCTAGCTATAAAGGCAAATTAATGATGGATAAGGTAAGATGGTGCTTGTCTGCACACATCACTTATGATAGTTAATCCAAATAAAGAAAATATAAGGATTGGTTCAAGATAAGTCTGAGAATATTTTGCTTCAAAATTAAAATACGACCTTAAGTCTGCTTTGTTTGTGTCTCTACCAAAGGGATCTGTGCTACAGTTTTGAAGAAATGTGTCCTTGCAAAGAATTTTAGTGCATTTTTAACATACTTCTTTTCAAAGCTGATTTGCAGTAACTTCCCTAAAAGTTTCTCTTTGGAGAAGCCTGTGTTGCAACTCTGTTTATTTAAAAAAAGTGGATGATACACTATTTCCACGAACACAAAAAAAAAGTTTCTTTGCTCATAGAAACAAGCTGGGTTTTTTTCAGCCAGCACTTTACACAGAAGTAACGCCTCGCAGAGCTTCTATTCACTAGCTTCAGTTCCTCCCAATACTTGCTCTGAGTGTCTCCTTGGCTTTCTGCTCCTCTTGTTTCTGTGGAATTTCTCGTAGCGTTTGTGTCTCACACATGCAGATCTACCAAATCAATGCTGTAGTCTTTGAGCTTCTGAGGTCCCTGGATAATCCTTTCAGTCGTATGGTTCAGCTCCTGCCCAAGTTTTCTCTGCATCCAACCACCCATTGGCACACTGGTCCTTAGACTGTTTGAGCATTCTGCTCCATAATGGCCTTCACTTGGGTTTTGCATTCGTCCTGAATGAGAAGCAGTTGTTTTAGCCTCCAATTTCAAAGGGGTATAATCCAGTCCATAACAAGTGTAAGGCAAACTGCTTAGAGGTGGAGGCAGAGCATTTTTTGTGTGGTAATGGGAGTACAGATGGTTGCCTGACATACAGGATATTTTTGGTAAGCCAGAAATAAGCAGACATTTTCATAAACAAGGGTTTTCAGTAAAGAGAAACTGTCCATCTTTCAGTGAGCATCGCAAATTCCCTTCGCTGGGAAAGAATTTTTGAGTAAGTAGCACAAGGCCAGTAACATCTGGGTTAACAACTATGCCAGTTTTAAACATAGCAGCCCAAATTCCTGCATTCTACAGAGCAATATGATCTGGGAAAGCAGTGGAGATTTGCACTAGCTCTGGTCTGGCCTGACAAGAACTGGTAATGTTATTACTTTCTTTCTTCAAAACAGAATTAACCTGTGACCAAAAAAGCCCATTTCTGCTTAAGAAAAGGATTACCTTTTTGGTCACTTTTTCTGCAAGACTGTGTGTTTGAAATAACAGCCAAAGTCTCTTTTCTCATTGCTAGTTGTGAATTCGGGCCCAGAGTAATAAGTGTAAATATAATAAGCTTTTCACTCATGTCAACCCTCAAGTGTTAAGTGGACCTTGAAAGAAAATCCTTGAGTGAGGCTGGGATCCTGTCTTAAGCGATCAGGATGTTCCTTGGCACCTGATGCCTCGTTGGTAAGGATTCAAATTGTCCCCGTGTAAGGAGTAGCTTCGTTCTGTAGTTAAACCATGTTAAACTTGAGAAAAGTTAAAACCAGTAAGATCACACATTTTCTGAATATTTTGCTTCTGTCCAAAAGAAAAAAAAATATCTGCAAACAAAATCTGTTCTGCCACATGTTTGACTTTCCCATATACAGCACTAGGACTGCAAGTGTTTATAATTGTAGCTCAGACTTTGCCTACATGAATTTGTGCCCACTGAAGAATGTGTTTATGAAGTGCACTTTACCTATTTGTTTTTGTTTTAGGGGACTACGGGCTACCACAGCCTTGGTATTTCCCTGTGCAGGAATCTTACTGGCTTGGCTCTAAAAATCCAAACGCTGAGAAAACAGCAACTGCTGATGGTAAGTTCTTTTAAAACTTGGGTGTTTAGAAATAACTTCAAAACCACTGATCCGCTTAGAGTTGACTGCGTAACCTTTCCATTACCTGAGCTGCTGCAGAGATTAGAGACAGCCATGCACTGGGAATCTCAGCAGGTGCCTTTGAACTTGGCCTGCTATTATTAGAGCTATTAGAGGTGAGTCACTGTTCTATCTGAGAGCCTTTAAAGCATGGGTTAACTAGCAGCATCAAATCCCCACCTTTTGAGGCATTCAAGGAGTTCTTATTGCCCAACACAGAATTTGTAAAAGGAGTCAAAACTAAACACAATATTCATCTTATTTACACTGAAGCTCCACCATCTTTCTAAACCTGGTATTTTTCTGTCTAATTTGGCACTGACTTAAGCCTGTTTATTTTGTGTTTGTAAGCAAGATCAAAATTGATGCTGCCCTTGGACCAACTTGAATGTGTGCAAAAGTCCTGCTTTTGCAAATCTTTTTCTGTGCATTGATACTGGAGTACAGTTAAGAACAACATGAGGGTGATTGTATTTAAACAGGAATTAATGCAGAATGATGACTAATGTCTGGAATAGAGGTTTGCTGAAGATAACGTTTTGAAATCTGTCTTAAATTTACAAGGTAACAGTGAAACCCGTCAAAATGACAGATGAAGAAATAATTTCTTCAGTCTTCTCATTACCATCTTTACCCTTCATCAAGTCAGACTGCTGACAAGGCAGTCTCGTCTCAGGGTGAAACCAGAAGGGAATGAATCCTTTCTGTGAACATTATGATGATACATCCACTGCTCACATGTTTTGATCAGAAAAGAGGTTATAATATGGAGATTTTTTTAAGAGGCTTTGCCTTCTGCTACATTATGAAGGAATAAACAGATTTTCCTATAGACTTGCTCTGAAGCTTATTCTGGTGAAGGCTTGCCTAGGCATTATGGAATCTGTTACCTGCTGATCACAGCAAATGCTGCCCACCAGGTTAGAATTTGTATAGGAAGGAGGAGGAAGATCCAAAGGAGGACTTAGAGTGTATGTATAGATGAATGGAAAATTTCCAGAGCCCCAGATAAGATGTCAGCCATTACATCTCCTTGACTTGCTGTGGAATTTGGGCATATTCTGCACCAGAGCTCCTTTGAATATCTCAGATTTGGAACATGGTTACTTACAGCATTTAAACATTTTCTGTGTATTTAGTTTAAGTTTAAATTGAGTAGAAATCAAATCCATTTTCTGGTCATCTTAATACCTCTTAAGTTCTGTACGTTCTATATTTCCAATACAAGATGGACTTGTGATTTCTTAGTACCCAGACTAAAGGTTGTAAGAAGGCTTGACAACCCCAAAATATTCAGTTGCTTAGGTAGGTCAGAAACAGAAAAGTTTATGGCTACTGCTTAACTGCCAGTTTTGTTTTGTTTTGTTTAATTTTTTTAATAGCATTTTTTAGATTATGTATATAAAACATTTTGCTTGAGTTAAGCCTCAGTTTATTTTGTACGTGGTTTTACATCAGATAGCTGACCTGATCTCTCACTGATCTTCCTCACTGTTGAGGAAAAATGGGGCTGTCTTGCAGTTCCTTCCACAGGTCTCATCCTAGTTTCACTGATGCTTATCAGTCCCTGGTAAGATTAAGAGGCAGATGCTTCTGGAAGACATTGCCAAGAATATGAAGTACAAGGTGATAGGAAATAATGGACATGGATTTACCAATTACAATCTTGCCTAACCAGTCTGATGTGATGACTGGATCCACGGACAAAGGGAGAGCAGTGGATGCCATTTGACTTGACTTTAGCAAGGACTTTAGCATGGATTCACATGGTATTCTGATAGACAAATTTATGAGCTACAGGCTCCTTGAGTGGACACTAAAGTGGGTAGAAAATTGACAGTTGGGCTCAAAGTATTGTGATCAGCAGCGCAAAGCATAACTGGGCATCAGTTATTAGTGGCAGGGGTCTGACAGGGACTGACACTGGACTTTATTAACAGCCTGAGCGATGAAATAAAGAGCACCATGAGCAAGTTGGTGGAAGATAACCAGATTGGAGGGAACAATGGAGTGCAGGGCAGCTCTTCAGAGGCACCTCAACAGGCTGGACAAATGGCTTTATAAGGAACCTCATGGAGTTCAACAAAAGTAAATGCATAACACTGTCTGGGATGGAATAACTCCACAGACTGGCCACTACCTGGCTGGCAGACAGCTCTGGAGGAAAGATCTGGTTGACAATATGTTGAACATGAGCCATCAAGTGTGCCTGTGTAGCCAAGATGCCTAGATGCAGCCTGAACTTTATTAGCAGAAGTATAGACTTCTCAGATGTGCCTAGTGGAAGCATGAGAGGCAGTGGATGTAAGCTGGAAAACAGGAATTCTGATACAGTATAACAAAAAAAGTTACTTGTTGTGAAGGTATTTGGAACGCTGGAGCAGGTTGCTCAGAAAGGTTGAGAAATCTCCATTTTTGGAGGTAGTCGGTGTGATCTGAATTGGCTCTGTTTTCTCATGATTGAACTGGAGATCTTTGGAAGTGTCTTCTGATCTAAATTATTCCATTATAATTCCTCCAGGTGTGCTAATGCTTATTTCATCTCCTCTTCTACAAAACATTGCCTTGGGTTTTCTCAAGCAGGGACAATTGGAAAGGTTATCTCTGATTAATCCATTTGTAGGAGGCACATGATTCTTCCCTGTCTGAAGAACTAAGACTCTTCAGTGCCCCAGCTTACATGAACAACTGTAGAACTTTTCTCAACTCGTATCTTTCCTTCAAGGGTAACACTAAGCATTTTTGTAATTCATTGTAACTGTCTTGAGAAGAAAGCTGGATAAGAAAATGTCAGATAATGGGAATGCACAGCTGAAAATGAAGCTAGACTGGTAAACTAACTTGGTACTTTTAAAATTTACTTCTATCAATGCACTTTTGTATCCCCCCTTCACCAATTTAGGTAACGTGGTGAACATTTTTATGTTGCTCTTTGTGCACCAGGTAATTTTATACAGTTTTATGAGCTAAAACGTCTTACAGCAGGAAGTTATGGTGATAGTTCACAACAAAATGAAGTCCTAGGCCATCTGATAAATTACAGTTGTGCTAGTTGCACTCTAGGCTTCCAGCTTGAATTTGAGTTGTGGAAAAGACTTCAGGGGCTCCCTCTTCTTGCATCACTGTTCTGCCTGCGTCAAGCCTGTCCCCAGTAGTGATTTTATGTGACTGTTTTCCTTCATGGCAGCAAAGTCGAAGATCAAATTGGAAGGCTAGAAACTCTTGTACAAAAGTTAACACCAACGCATTCGCTCCAACCTGGAGCTAATCTCTTCATCTCAGGAGCAGTTTAGCAGTTTGCTTTTCATTTAACCTTTTCTTTTTTTTTTGCTTCCTCTCACTCCCTGAAATTCTGGGAAATGTTTGTATGGCCTTTCTCTTCATGTGGTGAAGTATTTGATCTAGAGCTGCATGGACAAAATAGAAAGCAAGTGCCTAATATATACTAGTCAGGGACCTTCCACTCTTGAGTCCATAATTGCAAAATTGTCAGTTAATTGTCCTTAAATGTCTGTTCTTGACACGGTGAAGCAGATTTTAAACTAGGTGCCTTTGAGCGCTCTGTTCCTAACTTGAGTAAAGCACTGATGGTTAATGCTCTTGGAGAGCTCAAGGCTTAGGACTACCACCTTTTCCTCAAAGCACTTCTAGAGATAAGAGGAAATGAAATTTTGATTAATTAAATGTTGGTTACTTTTGGTTTATATAGAAAGAAGTCCAGACTCAGAAGGTGATGTGGAGCAGAAGGCCATGGAAGGGGAAAAAAATGAAAGCAGAACAAAGAAATCTGAAGAACCTGAAAAGCCAGAAGAAAAGAGCGACAACCAGGGGGAGAAGGATGGTAAAAACAAACAATGTAAACACAAACGAGAAAAAGAGCCCGGCGAGCAGGGGAAGCCTAAGACAGATGTCCAGGACAAAGATGAAATTAATAGTAAGGAGAGAGAGCAACCTGAGTACTTCTGAGATACTATACTCATTGTACATTATAACAAACTAGACGTAGGAATAATTGAAGTCAAACTACAAGAGCCCAGCTGGCTACAGAGGATAGCAGAGCTAAGCTCAGGAGAGGCACTGGGTCTCCCAGCTACCCTCTTACTGTTTCTGCTATATTCACAATCCCTTAGAATATTTTAGCAACCATGCATAAGAGAGCTGCCTTCCACAAGTGCTCTGTAACATGTTTTTTATTGTGCAAATGCAGGCTGTTTCTATAGCAAGTTAGCGTTCATGCTGATGGAAGCCTCAGAGACACATACATTGACTTCTTAGCATTAAACACAGCCATGACTTCAATAAAAATACTTGCACTGAGAGGAATGTTCTTTCTTTCCCCTTAGCCCCCCTCCTTTTTTTTCTTTTTTTGCCTATCTTTAGTATGTCTTGCATCTATAGGGAAAGCCTGGTTTCAAAGGGATTTATCTGAAGTGCTCTGTGTGTCTGTCTGCAGCCTTTTCTGATGCTGACATTAGCCACCATCTAAGAATTCCTGAATGACCTGCCTTGTTTTCAAGTCCCAATGTCTTCTTTTGTGGGAAGCCAGTGGAGTTTTCTGTATGTGATGCTCAGAGGAATGCATGTGGATTCTGTAGCAAAAGTAACTGCTACAGACAGCTCTGGGCCCACTCTGACTCTTGAAAAGCTAGAGATAAAAGTGGGGTCATCAGAGCTTCTCACGTAGGCACTGAAAACATGCATTCAGGGTGAATGGAAACAGGACAGGACTTCAAAAGAAAAAGGACAGGCAGAGGGCAAAGGTTATTTCAGCCAATCTCTCCTAGGACTGCCTTATCTTTGTGGTGCTGTACTCATCAGCTCCCAGGTTCCAGCTGCTCCGTGGCCACAGAGGAAGGGCTTTGCCAGTCACTGCACAAAAAACCCTGCCTTCCCTTTCAGCCAGCCACACAGAAACTGGGAGACATATGGAGATGCCAAGAGCAGACCTGGTATGGTTCAAGGACACGGTTTCCAAAATGGCTTTGTGTAAGAGCTAGTGCTTCATGTAAGAGTAATGGGATGGGAAACGGAGAGTATTTCTAATGGTTTAACGCTAGTGCAGTCCAGTACTAGCATGGTTTAGCGAAGCAGGGTAGACACACTCTAAGTCTGTCCTAATTGCTTGATAAGTTTTAAGCAGAGCTTTTACCAAAGCCCCATTCACATCCCCCACAGATGGTGCCATCTCTGAAGAAAGACCTAAATGGCCCAAAATTGTACTGAGGGAATAGGATCAGAATGGAGGAATATGAATCACAAAAAAGGGAGCTCAACCCTCCACCAGTGTCTTTTAGGTGATGCAAAGCAGATACGGAGGGACATCATCATCAGAGAATTTGCCTCAGAACTTGTCAGTGAGCCTTGCAGGCAAATATGAATTGAGCTCATGATACTTATAAAGCCAAGGATGGTACCTCAATTGCCAATATATGCAGAACTATCCAGCCAGAATCCATGTGAACTTCTGTAAATACAGGGATGTTTGTATTTGGCCCAGTAAGGTAAAAGGAATTCTAGATTTCTTCACAAAGCAGAAGAGAAGTTTGTCATTCTAGAAGAATTATTTCAGCTGCTCTGTGGTATACGCAGCTCTATCATGCACAACGTATCTGGGACTTCTTCCTGAGTATTGTTCATAATGACAGTCATACAAGCTGCTTTTGGAGGTGGGGCTGGTTTCACCCAGATGGCATTGGCTGCTCTCCACACAGGCCTACTGGGTACTGAACAATTTAAGTAAACTGCAATTGCAAAACAAGCCTCCCTGCAAAGCCTTAAGCATTCTGTGTAAACAAAAGTGGTCAGGGTCTTTAGTTTAAATTTCTCAACTGCCGTAATTCACATTGCCCAAGGGCTTAATTTACTTCAAAGGAAGTTTGTTTTGTCTAGAAGCTGATGCAATAAAACATCCTGATGATGCTATTTACAATAATGCATTTTTAATCCTGAAATAAAGCCATTCCATGTAGTGCTCATGTTAGGTACTGCCTCAGTCCTGAGCTGGCCTCAGCAAGGGGGTAAATTTCACCTACCAGGATTAAAGGCAAATGTTGTTTTTTTTAAAAGCATCATGGTAAAAGAATGCACAGCTGGGCAGATGATTTGAATGGCAGATTTCAGCCTGGCTAGAAAGACAACCTGCTGCTTGTTTAATGTAGTCTCTCAGCCTATCTGAGTACCTACAGACAACAATCCCAAATAATCTTTCTGCTACACAATGAAAACAGAAAGCACGTTCAGCTTCACCTGGTCCAATGAGTTACCTCTCCACAGACCGTTACAGTTCTGGGCTCCACTTCTCCTGTCAGTGGTATGTGGGTGAATCTAAATTGCACTGCAGTTAGAAATCTTGCCTTAGTTTGGTACTGGTCTGACTGGTGAATCTGTCCCTGGCACATGATGCTGTGTTTTACTGAGTATGTGCTGTTGCTCCTGAACTTATTGATGTGTCGTCATCAGAACTGGCACTAAAATGTGTACTTTTATTCTTTTTTCATTCTTGATTTCTTGCCTTTCAAGTAAATACCTTCTTTGAGCCTGAGCCGACAGGATTGATTCCAGGAGTTTGCATTCAGAACCTGGTGAAGATTTTTGCCAACAGGCCCAAGCCAGCAGTAGATGGGATGAATATTACTTTTTATGAGGGCCAGATCACAGCCTTCCTTGGTCACAATGGAGCAGGAAAGACAACCACCATGTAAGTTTGTATTTTAGAAGCAGCAAATCCAGGGCAGTGCTCTATTGCTCTGTCCTGAGGAGCAGTCTTCTCTTTTCACTCTTCCCTTGTCTGTCTACCACCCCTGCAGCTGGCTTGATGCACAACATCAAGCTTTTTCCAGACAGGGAAATGCTGCCCCTAGGCAAAGAGAAAATATCCTGGATTAGCTAAAGCCCTGGGAGGGAGGCAATGGGTGACACAAACAAGTCTAGAGAGAAGGGAGCAATTCTGTTCCCCAGAATTCATTTCCCATGGCCAAACTCCTGATAGATGAAGAGGGAGAAGAGTCTTCTGGCTGAAAGAGCTGCAGATTTGAAAGCCACCGTACTCCATGTGGTTTTGGTTTCTCTGTCTAACTGGCTTTAAGTCAGTCACATTTTTTTATCTGTGTGCAAAGGAGTATATAATGTAGTCCTTCTTTAGACAAGATGGTTATGTAAATGCAAGATCCATGTCCAGATTAAAATGTATCTCTAGTCCTAGAACCCTAGTGTCTCGGGAGTTGGACTTTAGGAACGTTTAAATTTCTTTATACAGAACTTTATTTGGCAAAATAGGATTGGTGAAGAAAGCATTTTATGAATCTATGACAAGTTCACCGAATGTTGAAAGTACTGAAGTGCTCATTATGAAGCAGAACACTTCAGTTTTTTTCAATGAAAAAAGGTTTTTATTTCAAATGCACTTTAAGGTGCCTTTTGATTGTTTTAATTGTCCCACAAGAAATATGTTTGACTCAAAATAAAAGCATTCTAATCTGCTGAAGCATTTTGTAAATTTTACTTTCTATTCTCATGATAAAACAAAAAATTTCTATTGCTTTGAAAGTTTCAGAACTGAAAAAATCCATTCTGCATCCAAATCTAGTAACAAGGTCCACCTGTTTGCAACATAACATTTGGCCCCCTTCCATTTTACAGAAAATAAAGGTGTAGGGCATGAGTCAGTATGGCTGGAGACCAAACCATTATTCTCTATCTTGGCTCTAGTGAACTCCATTTTAGACCCATTTGTACTTGAGGGTGATGTAACGTGCTGAACAAACTACTCTGAAACAGAGTAGCTGATGAAAACAATTTTTTAATGCCAGGCGGAACCATACAGACAGGTGTATCAAAATCTACATTGGCAGACCCACAAGATTCTCACCAAGGGAAA